CTATGTCGTGCCGGGGCCTACAGTCTACGCTGGCGGTTCGACCAAGAGTGCCGGATCTGGTTGCGTCGGGTGTGAATCGACTTGCACCGCTGGCTCCGGGCCTACCGGAACGGCCTCCAGCGTTCCCCAGCCGAGCACGACTGGCGGTCTTCCGGGATGCACTGTTGCCAAGTACGGCCAGTGTGGCGGTACGGGATGGACTGGTTGCACTACCTGCGCTGTGAGTGGTTAAGCCGTCTTGTGTCGAACTTGTATCTCACTGATCAATCTTTAGTCTGGATCAACTTGTCAAGCCGTATCAGCACCTTACTATTACCAGTGCGCGTAAGTCTCAAGGATCCTGCTAGGTAAATGGCGGCAGAGACTGGACAGACGAAAGGATGAATAGGATTTCGATTCGGTCTGGTCGATGAAGGTCTTGACAAGCGCCAATTGCTGAGCATTGGATGCCGACATATCGTCAATCTTGCCTTCAAAAACCATCTAAGATTCTTGCTCTCTTTGAATCGAGAGTCGTATTATATAAAAGCATTTGCTAGTTGACATCGCGACAGCCTTGCGTGCCTTGCATGTATGAATTGCGTCAGGGCGCTTCTATCTTCAAGCTGTTTCAATGACATCCCCAGAACTAAGTGTTGACGCCGCCTTCATTTCGAGAAGATGATCAGCCATGGCCCACCTCCCAGATGGTCCGGAAGAAATAATCTTCAGTTGGTAGGCGAGCCATGCACCGATATCTTTATCCGTCTTCCCCACAACCTCATACGCCATTCTCATTGGAAACAAGATGGATGAGCTGGAAACATCCCGCAGTCGTTCAAGGTGAAAATCAACGCTGCGACAGATGGCGATGGCGGATGAATACATTCGCTTGATCAGTAGTCCAGATTGTTCCAGATCTTGCAGGAGCAGGTTGAGCCCTTGTATGAACATCATTACCAAGATGAGAGCGCCGTTGAACGTAGTCGAGATGCTAGCATCATAAAGAGAGTGATACTGCAGGACCGTCGCCCAGATAGGCTTTCTTGCTCCATATTGGTCTGCATGCGTGGGCGTTGTCTTCGGTGAAGCCACCTCAGTCCAGCGCGAGAGGGCGGTGGAGGCCCAGCATTTTTCCCACGCCTCCAAATCTTGCAGAACCGATCGTGCCTGTGATCGAAGGGAGATCAATGACGCAAGGTCCGCAGCACCCATTTGGCCAACAAGCATTTCGTCTCGCTTAACAAAGATTTCAGGACAGTCGGCAACAATGTCGATAAGCAGCTGTAACGGGTCCTTGCGTTCAGGATGCTGTAGCCAGGGTATGCTCTTCCATTCAGGTCGAGATAAAATGGTTCCAGTATGAGTAATCAGAGCAGCGAAAATGATGGAAGACCGGGCCCGCTCCAGAATAATGACACAGGGTAGTTCCTGCATGGACTCAGGTCCCCTGACTTTCAGCAGCTGCTCAAAGCCGCGAGCATGGCCGATCCATCCGTCTTCTCGATCGCCCACTAGGAGCTTTGAAAGTTGTGAGCATGACGGCTTATGGTTTTAGTCAGCCTGAGGTTTCCAGGAGAAAGCTTACCTCGAACAGGGCCATTACGATGACTGCTTCCAATACGTCAAAGGATCGAGAGCCCTTAGGGTCGCCAAGAGCATTGTTGAGAGCCTTTAAGGCAGTGCCGTATTTCCGCAATCCTCGCTGCACAACTGGCTTTTGCCTATTATCGAGGCCAAACATTGTGGTGGCCAAGGCGACGAAGCATTTGCCGGTGATAGTCCTGTCGGTACCTGGTTTGACCACGATATCCTCACTTTCCCGAAGCAAATGCTTATGTGTATACGTCACGAAGATATCGTCCATAGCTGTCGGCATCAAAGAAGGTTCCAAGAAACGGAGTGGAATCATGTAAGCGGCGCTGATCGCCGTTGTCATGACCGCAGGTTGCTCCGGTGATGCGATGGTCGACCGTCCTGAAGATGGTGGCGATGGCAACGAGCTTTTGACGGGCGCAGAATCCGGGCAGTTGCTGCCGCTGTATTGGATAAAGCTGAATCCGCGGATTCCTCCGCATTTTAGCTTGGCTTTGAAGCATCTGTTGCATTCGGGAGTCGTGAGGTCTTGAATACTCGTCAGACGGGATCATGCATTGGGCTCCTCGTAGACGTCGATGCAAGCCGACTTACCGCATTTGACGCGCCGGCGGCGACAGTTGTCGCAGGCCTTTGATCTTCCGCCAACCCCAACCATTTTGGGCCTGATATGATGGCAGCTCGGTAGTTAGACAATGGCTTCCAGTTTACGAATCAACATCAGAGAGCGGTATATTCGATAGAAGCGGAGATGCATCGTCGTTGACATTGTCGCGACGCGCCAAACTAAGACTGGGTCTGTGACGAGAGTGGCTGGAAACAGCTCCATACCATTGGGTTCTCCCTGAGACCGGATCCGTCGACAAGCTAGCACCATCTCAGTTAGCATTCTCTGCTGCCTAAACCAGAGACCTGGAAGGGATAGAGACGATCACTTGCGCATAGGTCTAGCAAAAGAAGGAGAAAACAGGAGGTGGGAGCTGATTGTGTTTTACTTCATTGCCTCAAGCACACTTCAACCATGATCGTTTCTGAATTCCTCATAGATTCTCAAATGTTGTTGCAGTGCTTGCCCCTCAACTGTAGGCTGCACTGCTCCAGAACCTTTGGAAGGAAGCCGCCCGCACTAAGTTTAGTGGGCGCGTAGTACGTGGACAACGGAATGCGTCCTCGAAATATGAGCCTAATGCGGTAATGCCGTTAGGGTCAGCTGGGAATAACTAGGATTTACTCAGCGATCACTTAGCGTCCAGAAATGGCCCAAGCCACGAGAGTGATCTGCATCACAAACTCCACAATCAGCACTGCCATGATGCCGACCACAGTATCTTGGCCAATGATGACTACTTTCGATCAAGCCGCATGGCAATCAAGCTTTCCAACGGGCGTGTGGCTGACGGCGTTTTAAGCTGCTCGAGGATTCAGCCAAATAAGGAAATTTGTTTCTGAGGCCGCCTCATGCAATGTAGGTAGTCAATAAGGGACTTTGGTCTTCATGCCCTGCCCAATATTTAAAGGCGTCTTGATTTCCTCCGACTACTGCGAGTGGAAGTAAATTATCACTGAAACAACATATACAGCAACGAGCAAAACATGAGCGCGACCAAGACATACTCATACAATCATGGCCCTTCAGGTGCCCAAACATCTCTGGCACCTCCAGCATACTCCGAAATTGACCCGGCCCATATCAGACGCCTGTCAATCAATTCCGCTTCCTCTGACTCCGAGCCTTTGGATCCTTCGGAACAGGAGGAACTAAATGCGGCTCTCAATATCGAGCCGGGCACTGGCTGGATACCCGAGCTACATGCCACGGGTGCAAATCTATCAAGCCCCCTGAAGGTGAATACCTTATAAACCAGAGCTCTTGCACCGGTCTGATTGAGTCGTGCTGCTAATAATGTATGTAGAAACCGGTCGTGATTCCACGCATTGATTTTGGGGGACCTCTCAAAGTACCATTACCATTCATGCGAGCATACTCTCCCGACCTCCGAGCTCATGACATTCACGAAGAAGACTTCGTGGGCTTCATCGACAATTTGACAGTTGCACAAGGCCCCCCAGCCCCACTGGCCGCACTGAATGCTGCAGGAACGATAGTTGGCTATGTGTGCGTACCCCGAGCGTTTCATACTGTCCTTCGGTCACTAACATCCTCAGACCCAATCACTGGGCTCAATTGGCAGGCGGCATCACCAACCTGACAGTGGGCGTGGGCTCGGCTGCAACACGAATTATTCGATCGAAAGTATTTCTCGAAAAGGTAAACGAAGAGTATTTTGCGCCAAGAGGTCTGAAAGCTTCAGTGTGTAAGTCTAAGGACTTGTCCGCGAGAATTGGCTGTGGCGAGACTCTGCCAGATTTACAGTGAGTTTATTTATGTTTGTATATGGTCCTTGACAGAAGAGAGAGCTTACAAATTACAGGCCTCGAGATGTGAACTGGGAGATGGATATTACGGCTCGCCGAATGTCGGCTCTACAACCCTACATCGCGCCACTTACGTTTGATGTGCCACCCCCAACAAAGGATCGAAACATCATAGATCGACTCACAGAGAAGCAAATTCAACGACGAGTGAAGAAGAAGGAGAAGAAGAAAGGAAAACGAGCAAGGAAGATGAGAAGGAAGCAGTCCCGTCAGGAACGAAGACAATCGGAACGTAACGGCACGTCAGACTTTATCGACTCCGACTCAAGTAGCTCAAGTTCCAGTTCCAGCTCCAGTTCCAGTTCCGATAGCGACATGGAACACCTGAATAGAAAGGCTGAAATTGTGTGCTCGAAGGCTGACGAGAAGCTGGAAGGAGCAAGCCACAAGGAGGCTAGGGACATACAGAAGAAGAGAGACGAAAAGCTACGCAAGATTGAGGAAAAGATGGAGAAGGCGGAAGAGTCTGAAAGAAAAAAGAGGGAGAAGACCGCTAAGAAGAGGGAGAAACGCGCCAAGAAGCGAGGAAAGCATCACGCCAAGGATCACAAAAAGGCTAACAAGATGGAGTTCATAGTGATAGAGAGCTTGGAAAGTGATTCGGTTGATTGCGAATAGATAGAATGGAAACTTTGGTAGAAAGCTCAGAACGATATCGCAACATTTTTATTACTACCTCGATATGAGCCTACTTCCTTCTGCTCCCATCTCCCATAAGACGGTGGATTAGCTTAGAGCTTCCTGGCCCTGAGGGTTCAAACTTCTAGTTCCTTACATGATCACGCGATGCCGTTTCCTATCACGAGTAGCAATATGCTTCTGATGCGAACATCTCTGGCCAACAACACAGCCAGAATGAGGTGCAACCTGGAGACTGCAACATGGCTGTACTCATTCAAAAACCCAGGATAAGCAAGATGTCAGGCATCTGATTCGAATGCGGTGCCAAATGTTTACTGGAAATACTTTGGATTTGAATTGTTGAAATCTTAGACCCCATCTGGGTGGTTCTGGCTTACACTCTTCTCACGGTCCGTACTTGAAACCGACGAACTCTCAGCCGCCATGTAACCCGGTCTGTTCGGGAGCAAGTGCAAAACTGGTAGTCTCTTCATCTGCTTCTCTGATTCAACGGCTACCTCCATCTGCGTCAGCTCTAACCTCCTCTTTCTAAGCGCCTTGATAATGTGCCAGGCTGAATGGTGCTTTTTAGATCTAATGTCATAGACCAATTCCGAAAATCTTTCGGGGCTGTCCTGATCTGTGTGATCATGCTTCTGCAAATCACTCAACCGGCTAATGAAATCTAGCTCCACGATTCCGGACGATTTCGGCAATGGATTAGGCTGCTTCAAGACCCACCAAAACCCGAAGCCTGTCAACATCACTACAGAGCTGCCGGCAGCTATGAATACCAGTACTGTCCAAGGCTGACTGACGAACCTCTTGATCGAGCGCCCGCCCGTGGCGGTTGTGAGGAGCTCGGGTGGAAAGGTTCGTTTATCTGCGGGAAGTGCAAGCGTATAGTTTGCGTACTGCATAGCTGTTATGGCAAACTGCAATGGGACCGAGAGAAAGTTTTGAAGGAGCTCGACGTGCATCTCGTTGTCCGGGAAGAACTCGGTATAGGTACGATACTTCCATGCCATTCTTGCAATTGTAATGTTGATTGACTCAAGGTCAAGCTGACTCGAAAGGGGTCTCGGTACAAAGATTCTGTTCCAGATGAGGTCCATGTCAGGCACTGACATCTTGACTCTGACGGGTTCAGAAATGGGCTCTGCGTGCTGAATTGACAAGTCCTTCTGACTATAAGTTGTCGTCGCGTTCTGTCGATAAGCGGTAAAAAGCGTTTTTGACACCAGCGGCGCTCGAGTCCATGATAGTTGCGTTGCGCAGGCTCTTGTGAATTGAAAGAAGCTCGGACACGCCCGCCAGCCTATTGGTTTGTTAACCTCTTTTGGAGAATTTTGACGGAAATTGTACTCTTACCAGCTGCAACTGAATCTCCAAATTGCTTCTTACACATCTGTAATGCATCTCCCAACGGCGTCTGATATACGTTGCAATCCTCCTCAATATCGAATTCGAACCCGTCAGCTACAGGCTCAAACCTGGCCACCATACCAGGTGCACCCTGAATCATTATCGACTCCGTATTGTTGAACAGACCACCTTTGAGGATGGTGCTGTTAAGAAGGGGTCCCACTTTGCGAGCTATCTCCATGCCGCCTGGCAGAAAAGAGACCGAACAGTCTTCAGTGCAGCCTTTCATCTTCCAAGTTGTTGCATATCGTGGGTAATTCAGCAGTTGCTGTGTCCATGTATCGAAGAAACCGTCGAGATAGGCCGTCGAAATGAGGCCCAAGATTGACACGTCAGGAGGAATGTTACCAGCATATACGTCGACCGTTACGCCTTGCTTGATGAAGTAATCTTCAAAGCTGTTTTGAACTATTGTTGATCAGTTCAAACTTCAAAGTTGGTTGGAAGATTTCGCATGACGGGCGGGAAATACATTTAAGTACTGAACCAAGTCCCAAACCCATGAAAGGCAATGCAAGTCTTCCAAGGTTAGCGCTCTGAATTGCTCCAAGGGGCACATATCTCACCTTATCACACCCCAATTGCTCCTGAACCTTCCCTTGAAGATGAACTTCATGGTAGAAAACCAATCAGTTGCTGGACTGAGTTGAAAGAAGCTAGACGCCGATGCCCCATCCACGCGTCCTGATCTAGAGGCAAGTGACCACCGCAATGCATCGGAGAGACTAAGAACAACATATGCCAACAGCATGGCATATAGTTGAGAGAGTAGTGACAAGAGTAGGTTGGTGAGAGAAGCATCGAAGGTCCATGAGCCGATAACGGGATTGCCCTCGAAGAGAACGTGGTAGATGAATAGCGAGTACACGACGGTGAATATGAGGCTTGTGATCCATGCCGTGAGAGCAAGCCCAATAGGACGGCAATTTTCCTTCAGGCTCCTATCTGTCACTGGTCTTGACGGCGATGCGTAAGCAGTCTCTCCAGCTGCGTTGAGGAAGTCGGGGTTGGATGGGACCGGCTGATGGGATGGGAAGTGAAGATCCAGGGGGATCCTACGATCAGGGTCGAATATGAACGAGATCTCTTCAAGCTCGGAAGAGTAATCGCTCTTCGTCATTGTGAATAGCGAACGAGCGTGGTTCTGTCAAACTCCGACGCCAGCCATCGACAGGTTTCAATGAGCCTCGAGCAACAGCTAGTAACATGAAGTGAATGGCGCGACGAGTGCACAAAACTCTGCTAAGATAACGAGGGCTTGCCGACATTGATATGAACGGCGACATGGTGAGACAGACACAGGTGCTCGCTACATCTGCATTCCTCTAGTGGCGCATTAGCTTTGGCTTGATTGCAAGATGATTACTGGCCAGGAATCGTGGGTGGCTTTCTGGTAACGACGATGACTGGTGGAAGTGAGCCAAGATGGCTGCTTGTAGTCGTGATTGCCTTTTAGGTTGCAATCAAGAACCTCCAAGCCCCCTACCTGGATGTCGGATAGCTTGCTGGGGACGATCTGGAACCACCCGCGGCCCAGACGGGCGCCCACAACGGGCCAAAAACACTAACCAATCATGATATGAAATATACACTTTGCGATCCTCAGACGTCTCCTGCCCCTGTTGTAGGAGGACAGGTGCCTGCACAGTGCTGACGGAGCTGAAAAGCATGGTGCGGGGTCCCTGGTTCCCGGTGAAGGTCACGATGGCAAGGGTCTAACATTGCTTTTTTCCTTCCAGCAGCACGATCGAAACTTGGCCTGTCTTTGTGATGTTTCGTTTCTTCAAGACTGAAATCGTCGCAAATGACAGAAATGGCATACCAAAAAATACTTAAGCCAAATCCAAGCTTCCAACTAAGGACGATATCCGCCCGCCACGATCGTGACTACGGCGGTTGTGGCTGCGCATGTTCCTCGGGTGGTGTAGCCAGGACACGAAGAGCGACAACCACCAGATGTGGCGTTTTTAGTCCATGCAGCGTGACCAGAACCACATACACGCCCATGCGCACAGCCTCGAGTACGTTGCATTTGAACTGATTGACAAGCCAGGCCTGATGTCCGGTTGTAAGATCGGGCTCGTGTTGAGCCGGTTGGTCGCTTGCTGCAGTGGCGGCATACCAATGAGTGACCCTGCCCATTTCTTTGCAACTCCATGCCGAGTATTTGATCTAAGCTATCGTTATCGCTAAAAGATTGGCAAAACCTCTGCAGAAAGCAAATGACTTTGTTATGCATTAAATGTCACTATCAACGCAGTCCCATGCCAACCAGACAGTGGAGGACCGCTTGATCCGCTAGTTATCAGCACGACCACAACTGGTCATGATATATTTCTGACTGATCATCGAGAATTCGGGTCTAACTTCATATATAGTGAATGATTCAATATTATGCATATTTCTTAGTTGTCAGCCTTTCCAATACTGCACGCCTACAATTCCTGAGTAGCAAAACGCGTGGAAGCTTGTGGGATTCAAGAGTTGCATCTGCGCTGGGGAAGTTGCGTTAGCGACAATACCTTTTATGCATGACCACTAGCATTGCTCTGTTTTCTAGGCTTGAGTCTTGAAGCAATGAATCCTACTTAATCGATGATCTGAACAGGCCAGCGAGGTAAGACTTGGGGTATAGTTGCTCCAGGCTTTTACAAGGCTTCTGATATATGGATATCATAGAACAGGGCGAAACCCGGCCTCTCCCGATCAAGTCCTTTTGCGACGCCAAACTCTCATGGTCACGTGTGGACTTGTATGTGTTACTGTACATTTAGCATTTAAAGTAACTTGGTAAGGTCATCGTCAATAGAATGAAGACAACCCATTATTAGGGCTTGGAAGGGCTCTGTTGACTGCGGTTCCGAACGCTCTACAGGTCGCATCTATTAATTGTGGAAGGAATAGCTGTAGTCGAATTTGGAAGCGAACTGCAACACTGCGAGGGAAATTGGAAGCTCGCGAAGGAACCAACAAGACTGCGGATAGACGCCAAGGCGGGCAATCGGCACATATATCGGTCTTCCTTGTTACTTTTCGTCACTGCGCCGCAATTTGGCACCCTTCATACCTTTTCTCTTCGTCACAATTACCCCATGTGCTGTCCTTTTCTTCCGATACTGCCCTTGACTGAACACGCCACCGATGGACATCGTCGTCCCAAACCATCGATTCTATTCCAATGCATTTACTCCCCTCGGTCAAATGGTTCCTCGCGGGCTTCCACGCAGCTGTAGCTGTCGCTACGAATTCGGGAATTGTCGAGGTCGACCTGGTATTTCCGCGCAACGACACATACGCTCCGACAGCCTTGTTCCCTATTGTCTTCGCCATCCGGAACTCAAGCCTCGCGCAGTTCGTCAACCCTTACATCGAAATAAGAGTCCGGAATTCAAGCGATCGGTTCGACACATATGTCACTCACGACTACGACCTTCGACAGGCGGATTTCTCGAGCAGCGACCCTTACTTTGAGAGTCGTGGCTTCGGAAGATTTAAAAAAGAAGGTAGTTACACAATAGTGTGGACCGTCAGGCAGCAAAGCTGCCTCGCGGATGAGTCCAGCCTGGCAAATTACCACACTAAGGATGTAATCTCAAACAATACGATACGACTCCTTACGTTCACCATCAAGAACGCCGCCCAGGAAGTCGATCTTGTATCTGCGACGAATAAAGACAACGTCTGCCTCAGCGCGCAAGGCGTCGCCATCGATATCACCGATACCGTCGAGGGCCTGCTCGGGAGGAAGTGGTGGGGTGTCGGTGATACTTGCGCGGTAGTGGCATCTCCTACTCCTACCGCGAACCCTTGCCAGATGAAGCTCGATTCGGCCACTGCGGCGAGGATATCCTCGTCAGTAACAGCTGCGGCGTGCCGGCTGTCAAATCCGATCATTGATTGCCCCACCGAAGATGAGGAAAAGAACAATGCTCAACGTTTGGCTGTTGGAGCCATGTCCTTGGTAGCAGTCGCATTGGGGGCGTTTGGTTTTCTTCTGATATGAGATGCATCTGGCGAGGCCTTAAGTCGCGCGAGGAGATTGGGGCAGTAGTATACTCCAAGATGGTCTTTGTCATTGGTCGTGAATCTTTCCATACTGGTCACAGTTGCTCTACCAGCAGCTTGCCATGAGGTCAGAATTAACTCCAACGAGGATCCATGGGGAGGTAAGAGGCGTGGCCGAAGATAGTCGAACGAATCAAGAGTCTAGAATGCCTAATAAGTATCATCTCTAAACAGCTTCTCCCAGAATCATCTCCTCAAGAGATGGTCGTTGTGATCCGGTCGGGCATCCAACTCTGTGACTGTAACATGCTGAGCCTGTATCTCAGCAGTCTCTGGCTTCGGCAACTCCGCCCAGAGCTCATGCTTCGGCGTAGATCCACCATAAAGCTCTGTCCTTGTCGGTTCGGAATGCAATTCTCCCGGGGGCACAGCCTGGTAATATGTTCTATTGCCGGGCTCATCTTTGAACTCTTCAGCGGCTGCCGCTTGGTCCCGCTTGCGCTTTCTCAGGAACCAAAAGGCTGCTGCAACTAAGGCACAGCCCAGAATCGCTCCTACAACGGCGCCAGCTATCACAGCGGTAGAAAGGGTTTTCTGGCTTCCTTCATCGAGACTACTGTCGCTGGCTTTGTTGTCCCTATCTCCGGTAGAGGAGCCATTAGATGTCGCAGTGCTAGTGAATAGGTTTTGTACTGTCTCAGAGGACCATACGATGGAGCTGAGACCCCTGTTGGAGGTGAGAATGGGTTGAAAGTATCAGGGGAAGAATCAAGATTACCCTTTCTCATACCAGTCCCGAATTGTGTTTGCGGTCTCGTAGTCTTTGGCTTCCGCGTCATAATCTGTCTTCCATGCCCAGTCGGTCATGTCGAACAACCCGAGGCCGTTCGGCCAGGGGTCCGCTCCAGACCAGGCTGTCTTCCCGTCAGTGCCTCCGACGGAAAGCATCTGACGACGGCCAACCACGGTGCAAGTATGATATCGCCGCGTGTTCTTGGATTCGTACGGTACTTGAGTCCACACGAAACCCGGGAGACTAAGAACGAAGACATCATCGAACGTTGAGCCGCTATCAGTGTTGGTACCTCCGAAAACGAAGCTGCTGAAAGTTAGTATCGACTTGGGAGGAAGGGGAGACTGGCATACATCTCGTAGGTTCCGTTCTTCCCCTCAGCACCAACATAGCAGAACCCCCTTCGTGCGGTTGGTGGCGTGCCCGTTGCCTTCTGCCAGTACCAGTTTTTTGTGATAGGGTCGTAGAAAGTTAGGTTGCTGAAGTCCATCCAACCATGCGAAGTCTTTTGACTCGGCTCAAGGGTGAACGTCACGCCTCCCATGACAACAATAATACCATTCCTCCCAAATGTTGGGATGTAGACGGCCCCGCCACCAACAATAGTTCCATATTCTGAGAATGCCGAAAAGTCTGACGTCGTGTCATTGCTCCAAACCTTGGTCGTCATGTTGTATGATATAACCCCAGGAACTGGCTGCGAAGCGGGATTCGAATTTGTCCAGCCGGATGCGATACCTCCAAACCAGAATGCGGCGTCGCTTGTGCTCGCGTACGCACCCTCCTCGCACCTCTTCAGCTCGCCGAAGAACGATGGGTTCGCTGGTGACTCCGTTACCCACTGGCCGCCACCGTTGCCATCCGCCTCAAATTTCCATGATTTTGGTCCATCGATCTTTCCTCCGTACGGCAGATGTCCTCCCCAGATATAGAACGCATCCATACCCTCATTTTTCCACATCGCTTGCCCGTCCATCCCAGTAGTGGGTTTGTCAATAATTCGTATCGTAATATTCGAGGATGACCAGGAGATAGAGAGATCGATTGACAGTGTGGAATTTACTGAGATGCCTTCCAGTGAGTTGTGGCCCACTCGCTGCTGAATGATAGACCTACCGGCATTTGATGCCCTGTTCTTGATAGGAGTGCCATCAGCCCCGAGCTGTGACATCTCCCCGCCGTCTATGTATGCATAATCCCCGAGAGTTGTGACTGTGAAGACTTTGGGTTAGCTTTAGCTCGCGGGAGACGAGGAAAATTGAGTTTACCTCTCGCCATTCCCCTGCGAAGAAAAAGCTCTTTGGGAGGAGCTGCTGATAGTGCCCAGTCCGACTGCGCGCTCGCGCGAGCAGGGATCTGCGACACAAGCCCGAATATCGCGACGGAAACCAGTGATCTAAACATTGTAGGAGTCGACCGAAAGAAGCAAACATGAATAATAGCAGACAAGCACGAGAAAGGACAACAACTTCGCCAGAACTCCTGCTAGACACCTTGACCAGAAATGTCATCAGGATAAAGCTTTGCGAGAAGATGGGGGGCGTTCATTCTTGAATGGCAAATGTTCCCAAAATGTGCCACTGCGTCAGCCCCTCCTGATTGTCATCCGCTCTCGTTCAATCGCTCCTCCTATGTTATCAAAAGCTCCAAGACGCTAAGAGGGTAAGCGACTGCTAGCAGATCGAAATCCCCTAATTCTGGTGCTTGGACAGGGGCGCATTTTTTCTGACCCAAGCCAAGAATAATAATGCCGATACGCTGCCAGAGCTCCCCAAAGACTTTCCCAAATTCACTGCTTTAAATCTCGACGTCCTTTGAAATTCTGACCACGGCTGTCCATTCAATTGAATCCGTTCCGGTCACCGCTCACTTGTGAGTGGGAAGAACACGACGACGTTGAACAGCCTGGCCACCTACGGTTACACTCCGTTGCGTTGACAGCGTCCGCCCCCCCTTTTTGCCGAAATTACGCACGCATAATCCCTGTATATACATGAAAATTTGCCCAACGCCACGTAGATATTCGTAGTACGGCAATTGACCTATTCTGATGGCTTCAATTGATCTATTTCTATTGAATCTCATTATCTGAGGGCATCGTGATGCCTCCTAAACGCCGCCGCGCGGCTCGGCAGGCGGATGATGACCCTTCTGGGCATCGTCCGTCACCCATCGCCAACGGTACGCGGAAACAACGACGTATACAACAACTGGCACAGGACGCCGCCAGAGATCCTCCTCAACGCTCTGCCTCGCCGTCGATCAGGATCGTTACGCCCGCCGAGAGGGCTCGCCGGGCTGCCGCCGCCGAAGAGGCCGCCGAGGAGGCCGCCGAGGAGGTTATCGTCGCCGAGGCTGGACCCGAGACTAATGATTTGGTGGCGGCTGAGTCTACATCGCGAAGAAAGCGTGTACTTATAGCCCCTCCGTCATCACGAAGAGCTCCAAAAGCGTCCTCTCGCCAAAAAGCAACGACAACGCAGAGGAAGCGAAAGAAGGATCCGCCGCATACGATCCGGCTCCGAAGTACTCTGCCTTCGTCGATGCCACCGTTTCGACCAGACTCGACCCCAGTTAACCCAACCCCTCGTCAAACCACTCGATTTGCGGACGATACGCCTACGGCCCCTCGCCATAGCGCTGATGATACGTTTATGTCGTTCCACGATGTATTTGAAGAGGAGGACGATATGGGTAACGAGGAACCAACTCTGCTACAAATCCAGGTTACCCGTGGCCCAGCGCTCAAGGGTAACGGTTTACCTGTTCTCGATCTAACCATCGAGAGCATCGCGTATAACAGATTCAGTATTGCTCCTGTATTAGATGCGAATAGTAGAGACTGGGAGGCAGACAGCGGCGCCCAACTTGAGGCAGAAGTGGCTCACTCGTATATTGTGAAGAAGGCCAATATCGCTGTTGTCGTTGCTTGGAGGAAGCCCACCAACGCATCTAAACCAACACCAATCTTCACTCGGGTCTATCCGTCTACTGGAGGGGTCACTTGGCCAAGTATTCCATGGGTTGATATTGTCCCCTCTCTTGAACAAGCTGAAGAGAGGGGTGAAGTCCACCTCACCGTCAAGTGGCAATACAGCGCCGTACCAATCTCTGGTGGTATAGTGACTGGCGTACGAACGCCTCGAAAAGGTGGCCGAGCAGGCGTTTCAGCCGGCATGCAAGAGGCGATCGATCGTGAGGCTAACGATCCTGCAAACGTCGAGCGTCGGAAGGAGGGTATGCACAGACAACTTCTCCGTACGCACATCTGCCCAGAGTACCAGAGATGTAAGAATAGTTCGGGCGACGAGAAGTTCAACTGGTGCTATATACTAGGCCAGAAGCACTACAAGATCAAATCTCACCATATAGAGAAGTGGGCGAAGGCTATTATGACTGGACAGGCTGGCGTTGACAATATGGAACCACCTAAAGAACTGCTTGGTGAGATTCTTCACGACCAGTTTATAGAGGATCAGAAACGCCAGGGCAAGAGAAGTAAGAATATCGTGGAGGTTGATGATAACCAGGAGACGACAGTGATGACGGAAGAGAAGGCTGAAAATGCCGCACTTCCATCATCAGGGTCAAGATCTGGCCTAACCAACGCCAACAGCAACGCCATCGTCAATATATACGGCAACGCGGGGGCGCCAGATCGTCATCTTCAATATCCTAACCCATACGTACAGCTGCCGCCGCCGGCGCCGCCGCCGCCGGCATATTGGCCATATGCGAACATCTCACAGTATTCGTTGCCAACTCTTCCGCCATTGAACCTTCCAAGCACTCGTCAACCAAGTATCGCACTCCCGATTCGTTCGTCCTCGCCAGTGGTACCGGATTCGCCTCGAAAAGCTCTAGATCAAGTGGCCAGCTTCATCAAGTGGTTTATATCCGTCCGCGGCAAGCGATATAACGTCGACGAAGGGTTCAGAAAGAAGCTACAGAAACTGCGATCAGTAGACAGTAGCTTGCGGGCAATTCGCAAGTTACCAGATATTTGGTTTACTGAACAGGGTTTTACTCAAGATCTTACCGAAGATGTCAGGAACTCGATCAAATCCTTCATAGACAACAGCGCCTACTACGGAGGGCAGTCTGACGCCCTCTCCGACGTGGTATCTCACTCTGAACTTCATTCAAACCATCGAGAGTCAGAAGGAGATGTTTATACAAGAATATACGCTGGATTGCCAGGAGGGACGGCGGCGGCGCCAGTTGAAAACTCTGCGGCGCTAGTTTCAGGCGAGTTGGGGTCATCCCGACATATCGACGCCCTAGTGCCACGTCAATCCATCGAGCAAGAGATCCGTGGTACGCCAGTTGAAGTTGGTCGACGTGGTGAGTGTATATAGAGCTGTTTACTGTCGAATATGGCTAACTTTGTAGGCGTTTCGGAACTCTTTGGTTTCGTTTCGTCACCACTGCTGTCAGCGTCGCAGATGCTGCCCACGCAGTTACAGATCGAACAAGACGAAATCGAGCAAGGCGATGAGGACAATCAGATTGAAATCTCGAGTGATACGTCGTCAACAGAGACGTATTACTCGGAGGAGGATAACGAAGAAGAGTGATACAGCAAGAGTGGTGTGAAGTTTGACTGTATGCGCGATTTTTTTGCATGACGTGTTCAACCACGGAAAAGTCTACCCATAGCCGTAGATTCAACACTGCCGCTCTATACGTATAAAAGCAATAGAATTACTGTTATTTTGGATCTGCAAACAATACACTTCGGTCCATCCCGATACTGGTTAGGGGCAGTTGAAGTCTCTGACTATGGTTGAAGTCTCTGATCGTGATGACGTGTCATCATCACAAATCATCGTCACAAGCATCAACAACGCGTTTCAGCCGTTATACAGGCAAAATTGATATGTATACGTAGCTACCGACGAAAACAATGGACGACGGTATATTTTTTGTGTTCTGGTGCGCTTGTGGCTAACCTTTTGGCAATCTTGTTGGCTACAATCATGGATTTGATGATTGACCATCATATGACGACACGATTAAGATCTATTGCGCGCGAACGCACGATGAAAATTTGGATTGCTTGCTGATGTTCAATATTGGCAGCAAATCCTCCCTTTTATAGTTCGATATCGTCAAATATATGCTCTGTCCCATCAAAGTTGACGAACGAATGGCGGAAATGGCCCTCGATCTGGGGTAGACGATACCCAATCTCCATAGCGCAGTCACGTAGATATTCCATGAAATCCCGAGTGTCATTCTCATCGTTGTTCCACTTCGAATACGTCTTCCTGATGTATCGCTTTAGATCGCCGAAGTACTCTTCGATGGGGTTGAAGTCTGGTGAATACGGAGGCAGAAACTCGAGATGGACACCTGATACCCGGCATAAACCCTCGATTTCAGGTATACGATGGCAGGAGAGGTTATCCATAACGATGACAGAGTTTGGCTCTGGAAAACGCCCACATTTCGGGATAAGGCACTCCTGTAGCCAACGAAAGAACCCATCGCCGTCAGTCGTACCATAATACGTAGTCAAGTGTAGGATACCGCTCAACGTGAGGGCTGGCAGGATCTGTACGCGAGAGTTCTGAAACCGATCAATCTCTGCAGTTCGAAACGCAGCAAGCCCTTTCGGCGCCCATCCAGTCCTCCGTATCCCAGTATCCTTATTGACGCCGGATTCGTCGACGAATACCAGCTGGTCGGGGCGATATCGTCGTATACGGTACAAGTACTCGTATCGTAGTTCGTCACTTCGCTGAGCAGCAATAATCTTGGACTTCTTGTTCGTCCAGCCAGCTGAGTTTAACTGTCGACTGATTGCAGAACGACTGATCTGGATCTCGAAGGCTTCAAATAGGAAATCTTGCATCTCTTCAAGAGATAGATCGCTGCGGTACTGCAGTAGTTCAAGAAGCTCTGTACGATGCCATATTTCCATCTTTTGTCGACTCTGGCGGCACCTCTTATATCTCTGCACTTCGCCAGTGATATTACGTCGTGATCTATGTCGTCGAATCGTTCGTTCGGTACAGCCAACGATACTTGCCAGCTCGTGGGTCTTTTGGTCTTCGAATGGCAGTATCATCGCGATCGTCGATAGCTGTAGATTCGATATTCTGGGCGCCATTGTATCGTCGTCGTCGCCCGGCGTCTTTCTCGATGTATCTGATATAATAAACCACGGACATGTACTGACCAGCGGCAAACTGTAAGTAACAGGGCACAATCTATACAGCAGTAGACTCTTGCTCAATATCGTGAACAAGCTGAGCTATCAGGAGAGTCATTAATCCTGTTGACTGCCAAAGCATTTGCTCTGAAGAACCGTATCAAGCCCCTTGGTATGCTTATATATTACTCAGAGCCATACAAACCGTATGCTGAGTAGATATATAAAGTCATACAGCAGGTCTCTTCTTCTGTTCCTCAGCAAATGTCATCTTGATCTCTCATGACGAAAATAGACCTTTTGTTGGTCGAATGGTATGGGGATGAGGTGACTAGCTGGGTTGGCAATGCCTCGATGGGTAGATTGACTGCTACGGAAGCATGAAATACACACCTTATGTCTCTATCGTGTAGTTATACGTTTGAATACTACTGGGACTATAGTGATTGACGGCAATTGAGGTGTTGGTGATGACTTTGACGCGTTTTGCGTGCGATGCAGAGAAATGCGCGTCACAGCGTAAAATTGGCTTTTTTTCATGTTTTTGCATAAGCGGGGAAAAAAAAGGGGGGCGGACGCTGTCAACGCAACGGAGTGTACAGAGGATTACAGCGGACACGGGAAGGGAGCACAGGCAGCAGCCTAAATTTAAAACGGCGTTAGGCTTGTCTAGCGTGATGGCAGCCATTGGCAACAAATTGATAATGAGGGGCTGATTCAGGGGCTATGCGCTGCCGGCTGAATCACCCACGTCGACTTTTATTGGACAGGACTCTCAGGAACAAGCAATGTCTCCCAGCTTGGCAGTAAGCACTACCGTATTTTGCGACACGATGCTTCCAAGTCCGAACAAGCCAATGTAAATCTGTTCCTATTACAAGGTCTCTTCTAGATTTCAGACGTGCAGACACATGCTGGGGCCATGAACATGGGGCTCCAGCGATTACATGATTAAATGCTGATACCGAAGATTGATACGCAAGCAAATGATGACATGCAGGACGGAATCCTAGAACCAGGCGTAATAACGGGGAATCTTTGCAGCTTTGTTCTGTTTGACTGGCTAGACTTTCCGGAGAGAGAGACCGCGACATCATGCAACTTGAACGACGAGCATTCTAAAGCATTTCAACTCAAACAACTCTGCTGATTAAGCACCCGCCCTGGACAGTCATGGTTTTGAGTCCCTTCAATATTGTGAAAGCGAGTTTCACGGATGATGTGTCGGCCCTATTCGTCCACCTTACCATTGAAGCAAGCCATTTTTAAGGCAATTGAATCTTGAAAAACAAGACTGAGTGTCATCAATTTCAACAGGCCAAGCTGTGTCAGAGGCAAGGTGAAGACACTGTACAAAATGACACATAAAAGAAATTCGAATAGCTCGGGACGGTTTGATGTCGAGTATGGTTTTCGTCCTCCTCTTCAGACATGAGGAAAAGTGAGAATTCGTCACTATATGGACTAATCCAGGAAAGGCTACATGTTGCTGCCAGCGTCCTGAAAATTGATAGATAACAACAGTAAAGTTCAGCTCTTCTGTCCCTACTACACCAGCACAATTTGCTCATTACTGTGACACGCTAGCTTCAGTGATGCCTAGCTTCACGATGGATTCGAAAACGACTAAGAATATATCACTAAACTCGTCCCGAAGACGACGGATCCCATCGAGGTGAGAAGATTTACAATAACCTAGAACGCATTGTTGACGCATCCCAATAATTGTCTTCCGAACGTTCTCATCGCAACGTGAATTCAGGCTAGATAATCGCCAATGGCTCTTCTTGTTTGATCATGCTCTACTTGTGTGAAGACTCAGTCTGGGCATGTATTCCATGCTAGGTAGAAAAACCTGTATCCATGTCAAGCGATGGAATTACCGCCGAACCTGCCACAGTACGTAAACTGGAAGACATGTCTCTGTATGAATTCGGCAGTGCAGGTAGACGCGCTGGGAGGATCTTGCTTCTGGTGGTTTGATTGGCCCGAAAGTAGTCCGCGAGATGATGCCTCTTTTCTATTCCATATGACATTGGATGGGACGGGGAGATAACGGACAACGGCATCCGAAGGAAAATAAGGTTCGGGTGTGGGGAAATAACCGCATGACGTCTCCCGCCGGCTGGGACACCGGAAAGATCTACCCACAATACGATCAGGTGCTTCGGATTCCTAGAAGAGTGATCGCAAATGAATGCGAAAGTGTTTGATGGGTCTTACTCTATGTCGGCGGGCCGAGGTCCGCAATTGTAAAGCCGATGGGATAACATAGCCCCTTGACGTTCGGCGGCACGGAGACCGATAGCGAAAAGAGACATCTGAAGCAGGAATGGCTTGTTACATAGCCTTGTTCATTTATCAGACGCGGGTTTGAGACGAACTATGAGACGAACTGGGAGCCTTGCTCCGCCCAATAAGGTTTCCGACAACGTAGTTACTAAATCCGTTGTTGATCATGTACTGAGCTCAATGACTTGAAATGACTCGGTTGCCCACCGCAAATGACTCGATGGTCCAACAGGAGTTAATTTGGGAGTTAATGGGAATGATGATCTGCAGCGCAAGGCGAAGTCCCGCAACTAACTAATCGACCAGACTCCTGGAGACAAGAACCTATGCGGAGAACCACGGAGTAGCCCGAAGTCCACTGAAGTCACAGTTGACCATCTCGTTATAAATACCAGAGACTCGCCGAGGGAGTACTACAACTATTAGACAACTCCAACTACGTCCTTCCATCTACTTTCCATATTTCATATCCAACTTTACCATCCCTAGTCAGACATCATGAGATTCACGCAAGCATTTGTTGCCGCTTCTATGGCCCTCGGCGTTATGGCCGGCTGCAGATTCGCTCCCGAAGTCTGCAAGTCAGACGTCGGCCCCATCTCTCGCGGACTCACTGATGGCTGGGTCTGCGATCTCCCGGAAGATCTCCCTTGTCAAACTACGTGTGAGATCACTGGTGAAAGACAGCGATCCGAGCCCGGTGTCGTCGGAATGGAGACGATGAAGTGCTGCAAGCCCAGCCCCAACTGTGAGTCGTTCATAAGCTCAACACATCAACAGCAGAGACATAAACTAACATTACTGCCATAGGTTAAACTCGCTTCATACCATTGAATGTCACTAGAGGACTCCGGCCTTAGGAGGGCCAATATTATACCGTACGATTGTACCAAAATTGAAGATAAACGCACATCATGCAGGGGCAGAGATTCGATGAAGAGCGCGGCCTCACATTACCACAAAAGGCGCTGATAATCTAGAATTTAAAACTTTCAATCGCTTATTGCTCTTGGCTCTCGTGGACGACATTTTAATGCACTTCATTCATCACTAACCGCTGCAACTGCAAGAAATCTTCTGAAGACCCTACCTTATGTACATGGATGCACTAGTTTTGCGTCATCTGTCGCGCCCTCGTACCCAACTAGGCTAGAGAGGTGCAGCTTTGTAATCCTGGTGCATATCTCATGTCAGAAACCCTGGTCGGTGACAGATTCTTGGGCTCACACCTTATCCGAAGGGAAGCGCAATCGCAACATAACTGTGCCTGTATCTGATTAGCTATCTGTCTTTCAAACGAACCAGCACCATAATGACGTAACCAGTCCACGCAGAAAGACCTAACTAGGAGCAGTCGCGTCAATGGGCTCTTCGTGAAGACCAAAGTTGGAATTGCGCCCTTCAGTTCAGTTGATAGCCGCCATTCGCCAGTGCACCAACTCCTTGGGTAAATACCGATGCATTTCGGTCTTCGGAGCAGGGGGCTGACATACTATAGACTAGACGACAACATCTTCCGCATCAGCCGGATCCGGCAAAAACTTTTTGTTCTGTCAGTTGGTGGAGTGTTAGGCCCAAGGCCATTGCTTCTGCAGGGTTGACTGCCAATTCGGTTCTAACAAAGGGTTGCCGCTGGGCCCGGGACATTCACCGCGCATTGAATGCTCATAGCTTACTTTGAACTCAGGCATCCCTCTATTTTGGGCGCTTAGCTCCAAACACGGTGCGCAAATAAACCTAGAGAGATTCATTTCAGCGGTAGAACAGTCGGCAGCTGAATTCAATGCTCAATGCATGAAATTCTTTGCCACGCAGATCTTCATGTTTGTTCAGTTGTGGAACGTAACCATGACATTGGGCGTCCATAGCAAAGAACCATCCATGACCGAAAGAAAAACATAGACAACAAGGAATACACTGCCTCTTGACTTCCGCCTGCACAGGTGGCTCGTGACATTTATTCGCCGTAGGTCAGTAGTACTGATGACGATTACCCTTTGTGTCAATGTTATTTTTTCTCATGGTAACAATGCTAGAGAACTACATGTTTGACTTGATAAGAATATTGCACGGTAGATTGATGAAGTTGACTTTGTATAAAAGAGGGAGACTCGAGTCTCTCTATCAGTGTTGCAGACCTACATATTAAAAATCATAGAACCATTCCAACCAGCCAAAGTTACTACACATCTTGCATCGCACAAGCTATCCGCATCAGGCCGCCATACTCGAAATGGATGATAAGAAACTCTCTGAAATGAACGCCGAAGGCCGTTCCAAGCTGGATGACGCTCGCAAACGCCTCAGAAGACTTGACGACCCCGAGTGGCACAACTTGCTTCTTCCGGCCCGACTTCCCCCGGTCCCTATCTGCGACACATTCGCTCCCTACCGCCCGTTTCCCTCCAAGCTCAAGTTTTACCCTGGCATGGACTTCAATCTTCTGACGCAAGTCGGTGTTGCTCACCTTGGTGACAAAACAAACCACAAGATGTTTGCAGTCTCAGGTTACAAGCTTGAATCAGGCAGCAAGTATGACGGTCGCCCCAGATGGATTCTTCACAATGGTCCCAACAGCAGCGACCCTGCCCTGGCTATGATATCCGAGATACCTGAATGGGGAAAGGATGATGGGGAGGGCGTCCTCACACTCCCGTCGACGGAGCCTTTGGGTGGAAGTAGCGTTCCGAGCGACACGAGCTATGCGCCTGGAGACACAGAACCTATGTGGGCGTCGCGGAAACGCGCTATCCCCAAAACCCAAAGTTATACTTTGATGATTCCGCTTCTGGAAAATGGCGAAATGAGAAGCAGCTGCTGTGTTTGGACGCGGTTGCCGGAAGAAGAATGGGGCGAGATCAACAAGGGCTTTTCTCTTCGAGTCATGCAAGGGAAGTATATCGAAGATCCCCTGTGTACGATGCGAATGACGATCCCTCTCAAGCCTTGGAAGTCTCCTTTCAAACTTGAGCTGACCGACAACAATGATCATGGAGACAAGTGGCCTGTAATGGCAATTATCTCAGCAATCAGAGCGTGGGAACTTCGAATCACTCTTTGGGGCCGTGCTGTTGGTTTTGGCCGTGAGATCGGTCGTGACACCGAACGAGCATTTTTCAACATGATATTGTAGATGGTGCAGCAGAGACCCAACGGTTCAGTTCGATCAAGATATTACTGAAGCCTGAGTTTTCCATCTTCCTTAGAGCTATGAGTCATCAAAACAACGGCGTTCCTAGATCCAGAAGCAAATTGGCCAATTAATTGACATTCTCGATGAGAAGATTTGACGCCCTTAACTTGAACGGCCATGAATTTCAATGCACCTGTATGTCTACCGTAATTGAGGGGTTGAAATGGAGATACGTAGGATGATCTTTTGTTATCAAGCGAATTATCATCATACCAGGTTCCGTCGTACCCCGAGACTATTCGAGGTTTTGACGATATTGACTGGCGGTTTATGTGAACACTTGTCAACCTCGTCGTCAAATGTTGATGCAGTAAACTACTTAGTCTCATATCTGCCAAGAGGTGTCTGCTGTCAGTTGACAGAGACTTATCAGACAGACCTCGGGCTTAACGTGTCTTGGCCAAAATGCTTTCAGCCTTCTTGGCAACTTGGCATAGCTCGCAGCTTCGCCGTGATAACAGCGAGCAATGACTCCTCCAAACTTGAGTTGCATCTCATGGCTTCGAACGTGATGTCATTTTCTCTTTCAACTTTCTGTGGGCCTGTGATTTTCGCCATCCACGATTGCCCACATCCATCGTTTCCCACCTTCCACTTTTCAAGCTTGTTTCCCCGAGTCAAACCCACTCAATTACCTCATCTTCATCTTGAAACAAATATGTTTTCTTTCAAGGGGCCGACGCTAAAACCGAAATTTCCGCCGCTATTCCATATTTCGATGAGTGGTTCCTGGCTAGGAAAGGACCCGGGATCGGGGTCGCCCACACAAAGGCGGCCCGAAGGATCCGCGATGCCCAGAGCCCGCCGACGCCTTCGAAGCCCCTTTCCCGCAGAGTTTCATCCACCTCGATGCGGCCGACTCGTACAATGGCGGCAGAATCGTGCTATCCGACTCGCTGTTGTTGGGCGCCATTGCCGTCAACACACAAATCACCGTTGACGCGTGGCCGTCACCGGAACGACCCCTCATCACCTGCACTAGCGTCATTAAGACCAACTGAGACAAAGCCAGCAGCTGAGAGACTAGATCCCCCGCTACGTTAGCTAGCTCGATGATTCCAGGTCCCGACCAACAAAGGCAGCTTTTCGAAATCCAAATACGGAATGGGCGCACTATGCATTGTTCTATATGGAGTAATATTATGGCGCCACCTGAAATGCCGCTACCCGCAGCGTCAGCACAGCGAGCGCAAGAGTTCCTGATAGCGCAGTAATGTCAGTCGAGTGTCCTTTCCTTTGACACTTCGCATCACTAACGGGTGGAGAGGATGAAAATTCGGACTCACCGTTCACCAAACGCTTTGACTGGCAACCTGAGCTACGGGTTGACGGCCCACGTAATTGGGAGCGCTCAGAGTAATACGATGCCGTACTCGGCTTTGTTGTGCCGAGAGACGCGACAAAGGGCACCCGTCAACTCAACTCCACTTGATGTACGTGATATCGGTGGAAGATCAAGCATAAACATTTGCTTATAAGGACCGCATCGATCCCGAAGATCATGAGTTTCTTTCCTCTCCATCCCATCAGCTTCAATCATTTCCCGCCTCGGGCATTTCAGTCTTTTAATCACACTCTCTTTACCAACACTCTTTGGTATTACGAGCCTCCCACAGGTCTTTAGTAACATTTTTCAAAATGCTCTACCCTCTCGCTCTCGTTGCCCTCGCGGGTCTTAGCTCTGCTTCGCCCACTGTCCAACCCATCGACTTCGATGCCATCGTGGCTGCTGCCACTCCCACACTTGTTGGCCCTCCCGCCACTGCCACCGGTCAAACCGGCGTCTACAACGCTGTCGCTGCCTCTTCGTCTGCTGCCGTTGCTGTTACTGGTGTTGCTTCTGCCAGTGCCACCGCCTCTGTCGTTGCCCGCAACCTTGAGGCTCTTGAGGCTCGCAGTCTCGAGAAGCGTACTTACTGCTTCCTCTGGTTCTGCTGGGGAGCCCCTGCCACCACCACTTCTGCCAAGGCTGCCACTTCCACGTCTTGCACCACCTCCACCACCGCCAAGGCTGTTGTCACCACCACTTCGGCCACTCCCGTGATTACATCGGCCGCTTCGACCATCACCGTCCCTTCCAGCTGCACCCCCATCAGCTGGACCAACACCTTCGCGTTTACTACCGCGACTGGCTGTGCTGCGCCCTTCGAAGTCGGCACCTACTGCGGATTCATTAACCCTGAGGACCCTTGCGCCCCTCAGCCTGCCGGCAGCGGTCCTCAGGTCCAGCCTGACACTGCCAGCGCCTTCCAGGCCTACGCTCCTTTCCACTCCATGGCCTCGAACGCTCCTACTCCTACCGGATACGCTCAGACCTTCAAGGACCTCGGTGCCTCTGTCAACGCCAACAGCTACCTCGGCCTGTACACTCTCACCTCCTACGACGTTGCTCAGTGCGCTGCTTACTGCGACAAGACCGACCTTTGCACTGGTATCAACATCTACATTGAGCGTGACCCCTCTATCAACCCCGACAAGTGCTCTTGCCAGAACCCTTCGTCCATCACCAACTACAAGTGCACTCTCTGGGGATCTGGCGTTGACAGCGCTGCCGCCACCAACACTGGTCAGACCCGTGACAGCTTCCAGGTCGTCATCGCCGGCTCCAACGGCTACCAGAAGACCAACAACACCACTCCTACTACTCCTTCCGGCTGGACCAACCCCCAGAGCTGCGGTGGTGTTACTCACAGCCACCCTTCCACCTGCATTGGCCAGAAGTTCTTTCCTGGTCCCTTCGATGTCAGCGTTTGCGCCGCTTACGCTGCTTCTCAGAACACTGTCAACTACAAGTCTCTTGGTCTGTCCTCTTGGGCCAGCTGGTTGGGCTACAGCCCCCTGAAGTGCAACTTCTTCAACGCCTTCATGATCAAGCAGAACGGTGTTGCCAAGGGTACCTACTGCAGTCTCTTTTCCCAGCAGTACAGCCCCTCTGCTGCCTCTTACAGCCCTGGTGTGTCTGGAAGCATCAGCTGGAGTGTTGAGAGCAGCTGGAGTTTCTGCTCTGCTTAAGAGCTTTCTCTCTTTCAATACCTTATTCTTATCTCCCGTCGAGCATGACAAGACACATCGGCGATTATTGTTTAATGGTTTACCTTTGTAATTTATTATAGAATTTGTCGCGACCAAAATAGACGTTCCTTACCTGATTTAAATCCATTGCATCAACCCTCAATCGTGTCTTCCGCTGGTGAGCTATGAAATAGCTTTCTTCGCTCAATAGCGAGGTACACGAACCTTGTCAAGATCCGGCGCATCCATCCCATCTACCCTTGAGATTGAAACATTGTTCTTCCCAGGTAACAAATTGCAATGCAAGGTACTGTTACCCGCAGTATCGGTACCGTTACTCGCTGTAGGCAGGAAAGCAATGATTTGCTCATTGCCATTACATGTGACCGCCGCATACCGCTGCTGAGCTCCACCAACAGCATGCGTCTACACAATCGTCACTTTCTTGGCTGATCGTGCGTCCAACCCCGAAAACTCAACGCTTCCCAGGTTAGTCACCGACTTCCCGTTACTACATCCAATGCAGCTTCTGTCTAAGGCACCGTCGTCAAGCTGAGCCGTTTCGGCCTCATATTCTCTGTACTCTGGGGCTTCTCTCCAACTTTCTGTTTTGGCATCAAGTATCCAACTATCTCTCCACTTCAGGGAGACATTGGTCTCTTTGATCTCGAGGGGTAGCCAGATGTATGTACTGCGCAGCAAATTGTTGCTCTGCCACCGGTCGCCCATGTAAATGAACTGATCCTTTCCCAGAGGAAGGACGAAAGTGGTTTGGCTCGAAAAGGTCCCTGATCCCACAGGGGCAAACGGCTCCCACGCCGACCATGGCCCACTTAGAGACTTGGAGTAACTGTAAAGCTGCGGCTGTTGTGAGCTAGGCTTCGGAAAAAGCAGTGAAACACCTACGTTGTCATTTGCCTTCCAACCGGACAGAGTACTCCCGAACATAAAGTAGTACCCATTATGATGGATGAGAGCAGGAGACTCCACATTGTCGCCTTCCCAAAGGTGAATGTTCTCAGTGACGTTCAGATAATCAGATGAAAGCTTCACAATACGCAATCCGTTCGGTCGCTGCGGCTACCCGTCAGACATTCTGTCATAATCAATTGTTTCCAATACTACTCACGTCTTCAGTAAGCAGGTATCCGGATCCATCGTCATCTTGATACATCCCAATATCACGGCTCTGTTGACCAAGAGGACGAAATCCCCCCTTGTACTCGTAGGGGCCACAAATTTGGTCAGCTGTAGCAACGCCCACCCTAGCATCCTTCCGTACTGCTAGATCATCTGTAGCCTCGCCATTGTCGATGTGGGCGTACATGACATACTTCCTAGTCTTTCTGTTGTAAAGGACCTTAGGGCGTTCCACGATACGTTTTGTCTTCAGGTCCGGAATCGAGTCGTTTCGAGAGAGAGCTGCACCCTCGTACCTCCACTCGACAAGGTTTTGGGATGAATAGCATGACACACTCTGAAAATACGCTGTGGAGTCCTTGTCCTCGCCGAGCATATAGTATGTTCTTCCAACCTTGTTAATACCTGCACCGTGAGCTTGAATATGCTTCCCAGTGTTGATCTAAGGAAACGTGAGCCTAGACCGGATCATTCCGCCATGAATTTTTCACTCACGTCAGTCCATGTTGCCCCTGGAACAATCTCAAGTTCTTCGGTAGTCGCCAGGTCATCTTCTCGTTGGGAAGGAAAGTGAAGCGTTGTTGCCTGGCTGGAGCCCAGCACAAGAAAAAGGAGGTAGAATTCCGGTTTCATTTTCATGACTATATTCGAGCCAACTTGAGCATGTAGCGAAGAAAAGACAGCTTTTTGCTTTACAGAAGTAGGTAGTTGATGGCTGAAATCAGAAAAATGGACAGAGGGATACTCGGGTAATCGTGGGAAGTGCATACCTCGGGTCAATAGTCTCTGTACCGAGATTAAGCTGTCCGGTAGAAAGCTGAGCAGCCCATCCCACCGGCCGGCCGGGTGTAGATCAGTTGTGGCCCCGCACCATCGCCTGCTTGAAGATGTTCCTCCAATAACGAATGGTGAACGGGCTACTCCGGCTACCCAAATCCATTCGAAGTCTCGATTGAGTAATTGCAAAAGCGTAGAGTAGTTCGGAGGCGGGCTCGGAGCCTATGTGTTTGCACATCGCTGCGCCCCCACGCGGGGTCCCGACGCCTCTTCTCGGGATGCGGAGGAAGAGCGGCGGAGCTGTTCATCCAACTCCCCTTACATGTACTCAGCCAATGCAGGTACCTACCCATGATTTTCTTCATTTCAATTTTGAGTCAAATTGTGATGTCGTAGGATATCGTAACGAAATGCATAAGCTTATCGCTGTTCTCTTGCTCGTCAGCGGGGTTGTCAGGGCTCAAGATAATGTCGTTCATCTCGACTATGGCTCATTCCTCGGGCATTTTGATGAACAGTACAAATACACGACATGGCAGAAAATCCCATACGCGGCACCACCAACGGGACAAAATCGGTTTCGCGCCCCGCAACCTCCGGTCAAACAAAAGGGTCTCTATGATTCAAGGGAGAAGTTCAGCGCTTGTCCACAGGGCACGGTATGTCTCGTCCAGTCAGCACACATGAGCCATCTAACGTCATCAGTCTGGTGGGTCCGAAGATTGCTTGTGTCTAGGCCTCTTTGGCCGGCCATGGGCGGAAGGTCAACCGTTGCGCCCTACCGTTGTCGTTTTCCATGGTGGAGGCTTTGTTGGAGGAAGTGGGAGCTTTGGAACCCCGCCAACCTCCTATCCTATTCTCAACGTCTCAGACCCAGACATGATGTTTGTCTATCCGCATTACCGGCTTAATGCTTTTGGATTCCTCGCTGGTGTACAAGTGAAGAATGACCTGACCGCAGATTTCAACGTAGGTCTACTTGACCAAAGAGCCTGTTTGAGATGGGTCCAACGGTACGGCCGATCTTTTGGGGGAGACCCGAGCAACGTGACCATCTGGGGTCAAAGTGCAGGTGGAGGTAGTGTCATCGCGCAGATTATTGCGAAGCAGGAGCGCCCATCACTATTTCACAAAGCCGCAGCCTCGAGCCCATTCTGGCCCAAGGTGTACCGATGGAACAGCACACAAGCTCAAGGCATGTACGATGAACTCGCTAGCCTCGCCGGCTGCATTGGACCCAATAGTCTTGGGTGTCTAAGGAACGTTTCTGCTCGCGCCCTTCAGAACGCTAGTTTCGCCGTTCAAAACCAAAATTTGTACACCACATCGACGTACAACTGGGGTCCAGTTCTAGATGATTCCTTCCTTCCCAAGTCACTTTCACAAAGGACCGATAGCCCTCTCAGTCATTTAAAGACGGCATTCACTGTGTACACGACTCACGATGCGAAGAAGTTTATTCCCACGGGACTTGGAAAGATGGCTGGCGATGCTTCTTCCTTGTTTAACTCGAGTAATGCAAGTTTCGATCAATGGCTCAAGGGCTTCTTGCCAGGTCTATCTTCGAAAGACAGACAGCAAGTCAGAACACATTACCCGCAAGATGGAAGCACCGAAACCATATCCTACTCGAATAACTTTGATCGCGCAAGCCTGGTTTATCGAGACTCTGTTCTCGCTTGTCCTGCACTTTGGATATCAGCGTCTGCAACAAATGAGGGGTGGCTGACAGAATACGCTGTCTCCCCAGCAGGGCATGCTCAAGATGGATGGTGGTGGAACTCTGTGACAGGAAAGCAATATGATGATGTCCTGAAGTACGAGACATATGTCGGTAAGTACTCGTCGACTGTGATAGAAAGCTTACACTTGGGATAATAAAAAGTGAGATAGGGGCATTCAAGTCGTACTTTTCAACTGGCGACCCAAACCAGCATAGGCTTAGAGAGCTGAGAGGCCCACCTGTGCTTAAAAGACTCGCTCAACAGGAATGGGTGGTAGAAGACTCCGGATTCAGGGCTTCAGATAGCAGCCAGTTGCAGGAACGTTGCAAATTCTGGAGAAGAGTGGCTGGGAAGATCCCTCTGTAGAGCATCAGGTTTGAGTTTAGGTTTGAATGCAAGGAACTCAGTTACCCTTACAACCCTTTATTCTGAGCGTGAAAATGATCAGGTGTGGACCCAAGTGTAATGCGCCGTTGGCTGTTTGCATCACTCCCAAGCTACGAGAGGCGGCGGGAAACAAGGTCGTTTCGAAGATGTCACATCTACTTTGAGAGGAACACCCAGTGGTCGAGCATCTGCCCTAGAACCCTTTTTGGACTCCGTTGAGAATGTCATACACAGTGACTTGTCTTTTGTGGTTGCACTTAAAAACAACATGTCATCGTTCAACGAAGCGCACCACAATGTTATGAGATTGAGAGTGTTAGGTTGGCAGGGTACAATTATATACACAAAAGCACATTTTCACCAAGCTTTTCATGAGTCCTAATTCCGATTGGGAACTGATACAGCTTGCAAAAGGGACAGCGAAACCGTAGTAAGACGCCGTTGTATCCAATTTGCCGATGGCCCATCAACCAAACCTGGTACCCCATGTGTAGTGGTCTACTCGTCGCCGGTGGCAAAGTCGCCGGCTGCGATTAGCTTGCTCAATGCGTCGTTGGAAGTGAAGTACTCGGACATGTCAGATCTCTTCTGGAGCAAAAGATCCAAAACCATGCGACCGAAAACCTTGGAGCCGGCAGAGTTAAGATGGGTCCGATCGGTTCCCGCGTCGCCGTAGTCTTGGAAAGTTAGTGATCGTTCGTGGCGACCTAAGGACCTGAAATTCACTTACTGTAGTACTGCGCGTTTTCCTGTCCGATGGCGTTGACATAGTTGGTGCTTGCGAGGGTGAGGTCGAGATAATATGCGCCCGCGTCCTTCGCCGCGGCGATGGCCTTGCCACGCCACTCGACGAAGTCCTCTCTGACTTTGCCGTCAACGAAGAGGCGACGGGTGAGAGGCGTGATAACGATCTATCATCATCATTATCATCATTAGTATATAGGTTGTGCGCATGCTTTCGAGATGTTCTTACCGCCTTGCCTCCAGCATCTTGAATATCGGTAACCATTTGCACTATGTATGCACGATACTCGTCAAGGCTGAGGTACTTCTGATCGTTATGACCGAACTGCATGGGAACAATGGGTCGGTATTCTTCCTTGGCCTCCTCAATTGTCTCGAGTAGATCCTTCCATCGCCCGTTGCTCTGCCACGAAGAGGTCGAAGTGCCACTCTTGGCACGATTCTCCCCTTTGGCATCTCCAGTCAAGTAGTCCAAGAAACCAGTTCCCCAACCGGCGTTGGCAGTCACAGTCGAGTCTCCAATCAGGATAAAATAGGGTGGCTTGGTAGCCCGCTCGGGGAGAACGGTGGCTATGCCAAAGTTGGCAGCAGCCAGGAGTACGGAGGCAACCAGTGCGAGCTTCATGACGGTAAAGGTTATTGCGCGGTAGGTCCTTCAGAATGAAGCTTGAAAATGGTGATGAGATAATGGATGAGAAGCGAGACTGTCGACGTAAGGTGTCGTGGCCTTGCATTAAATACTTTTGCAAAGGATCGTTACGTTTGTTAGTTTCAATCTCTTGACGGCGTGCTAAATATCGCGCCTTGAGTTGTCGCGGCATTTGCCTTAACGGGTATGTGAGATTGCTCAATTACATGCCGGCCACGCAAGACTGAGAATTGTCATGATAAGATCTTCTACGACATCCATGATGTCTGCACCATCCCCAAAAGCTGGTGTCATGAATACTCCGGAGAAGCGGATGCATACGTTGGACGCACATTTAGCAGTAGTTATCCCAATATGGCAATGCACTGGCAACAGCTCGGCATACCTTGGACCGTCAGAAGGAGTATTTGTTTCCATCAGAAGAGACGTACGAAACAAAAGCGCTTAGGCTTGGGGAAACGGAGGAATCGTAGCGGGCCCGGGTTTTTGGACGGGTCTATCCAACCATGGGTATTATGTACTAGCATCGTTAACGGAGTGCTCCGTTTCGACGTGATTCGATCGCGATCATCACCAACACAACGTATACCCCCATTCTTTGGATACAACAGACCAATTTGTGAGCTGTTGTTGGGTAAAGAAATGCTACTTAATTTTCATGTGTGAAATTCTATCTCGAAATGTCTGTGACCTTGGCAGTCTATCGTCGTGTCCTTTTTGTTTCCTTTTGCCCAACTCTCTGGTGCTGCAAGCATGAAGCCGGAGGCTCATTTGTACTTTGACGGTAGGTAATGTCTCCTAACGTCTTGTGCACAATTCGGAGTTTCCCGCTGGCCGAAGGACATGCCGGATGCTACACAATTCATATCCTCACGATCGACAAATGACACCATTAGAAATCAAACCACACAAACTTCCACCAGCTACAACGGGAAAGATTGCTTGATTGAGAAATTTGGTTTAGCACGTTACATACTCGAATTCTGAAGGGCTCTGAATTGTCACTCTGCCTCCGAAATATGAAAGGTCTGGTTTGAACTCGTGGAGGGCCGAATCCGTTCCATTCTGTGCAACCTGTCGACATTCGACTCGTATCTCATCTTGAACTTGCAACTCCAAATACCTTGACAATGCTGTCTTATGCTTCGATCGTCGCCTTGGGCTTGATTAGTTCAGCCTCTGGGGCAATTTGGTTCAACGCACCGGCAACCGTTCCGCAAGGAAGTGGGATAGTGGTGTCGCCATCATTCGTGTCTTACTCGATTGAGTTGTCATATCTACCAGACTACGCTGGTAAGTTATCGACCGAAGACCCGTCAAGAAGACACTGACTCATATTTGGCAGGTAACAAATCAGTCCCAAACACGTTTTCGGAGAATTTGTTGGAGCAGTTTCGCAAATTCAGTGGAGATGATCGCCCAACCATCCGCGTGGGTGGATCAAGCCAGGATAGAGTTGGCTATGATCCAGACCTCCAGGTTTCCCGTGTTCTCGAGGGGAGTGGCGATCTTCCCGCTAGGCTCACAATAGGACCAACGTTCTTTGAGTCTCTCAACACTTTTACTGACACTCGCTTCATCTATAGTCTCAACATGAAGCGCTCAGTCCAGAACGAGACACACTACCAGAACATGCTCGACACTGTTGCCGCCGCCTGTAGGGCCTTGTCCAACAACAATCTGCTCGGTTGGTCCTATGGTAATGAGCCAAACTTGTATGGGTTTGACAATTGGTATCCCGCTGATTACACAGCGGCGTGGCTGAAGGGTACTCGAGATGCAAAAAAGGTTCTCGAGGACAAGTGCCCAGACCTTGCCGATGACGACAAGTTCCGCTGGCTTACGCCATCACCTTCCAGCTTGTCATCAGGACACGTGAACATTCCACACATCATGGAGGCGGGCATTGACGAGGATGGCTCAGTCTATTTCCTTGGGGCTCACAGGTACGATTTCCGCATGCATCAATGCAACCAACAAGCAGCTGACATGGGTCCAGCTACATGGGAAACGGACGAGAACCTGTAAACAAGCAGGCCAAGCTCATGAACCATACTTCTGTGGAAGGTTCCATTAACCGGCATGTAAGCCTGATGAAGAAACTCGTCAACTACACACAGCCGTATTCGATAAGCGAGACCAACAGTTTGTATGGGGCTGGCAGAGCTGGTGTGTCGAACACTTTTGGAGCTGCTTTGTGGGCCTTGGACTTCAGTCTGCATGCCGCAGCCAAGAACATCACCCGTCTGAACTTCCATATGGGCAGAGACTATCGCTATTCGGCTTGGCAGCCTGTACAGACATCCAAACAGGACATTGGAACAAAGGCACCCTATTACGGCAACCTGGCAACTGCAGCCATCCTGGGTCGTCTGGGTGAGGACAAGGTTCAGGTTGCGAATCTCCCAGCTACTGGATACGGGGCCGAATCTGCGTAGGGCATTTACCACTCTGGAAAGCTTGCCAAGGTGGCTGTCCTGAACATGGCCGAATACAACTTCACAGCTAGCGGTAATGCAACCGAGACTGAGCTCAACAAAGCCAAGCGTAGCAACCACAGCTTTTCCATCAACCTCGACAGTAGTTTCAATGGCAAGACTGCTACGGTGCGTCGTCTCATCGCTCCGGGCGCTGACTCGATTACTGGGATCACATGGGATGGATACACCTTCAACTATGACGTTGACAATGGCAAGGCTGTGCGTGTCTCAAACGTCACTGTTGGCGAGGAGGTTGCTGTTAGCGATGGCAAAGCGACCCTTTCTATCGCTGACAGCAGTGCCGTGGTTCTTGAGTTTTGAGCATAGAGTGCGCATTGCGGGTTTTTTTAATTCGAATGGATTCTTCGCAGACGGCAGCTAACCTCAACGTAGCTGCGTATTGCTTCATATGAAACACGAGAGGGTTGGAATGGCACGATTTGTATGAATTCATTCGGACTACTAGGGCAACGAAGCAGTTAACCGGGCTTGACCCGGTGATCCACATCGAGACCTGCACTCTTCGATCTATGTAACTTCTCATTCTGCACCTGAATGTGACATGAACTTGACGATGTTGCAGCTCTTTCTCGGGCCCGTTGCTGAGTGAAGAGCTCTTCTGAAAATCTCCAGCAACTGGTCTGGGTCTTCCATCCCTACGCTGAACCGAACAAGGTACGGATCTACACCTAAACTGGATGCCCATTCTAGCTCCTTCATGTGAGCAAGAATGACATACGGTGATGTCAATGTGAAGTTCGTACCCAGACTAGGCCCCTTCGCTCCATCCATGTTGTCGTAAAAGGTGACGGCATCTTGCTTGCGATGAAACATCACGGACATTAGGGCCCCGTACCCACCACCAGGCATTCTACAGGCTTCATAGTTCGATTTGTCGCCGTTGTACTTCGGATAATACACTCTCTTGATCAACGGACTGGCCAGCAGTAATTTTGCAACAGCCTCCGCGTTGATATTCATTTGACGAATGCGTGTAGTAAAGTCGCGACTATTCCTTTCCATCAAGATGACGTCCTCCGGCCAGTATGTGTCTTTGTACTCTCTCTCCGCGATCGCTTTTAGACAGGGATAGTAACGGCCTGTTGGACTGAAGACGGCAGAACCTCCAGTGACATTGCATGCGCCAGAGAAGAACTTGGTGAGAGAGGTGACCACCACGTCCGCATATTGAAGAACATTGACGTTGGCGAAAGTTCCAATCGTTTCATCCACCACAATGGCAAAGTCGTACTTGTCCGCGAGCGACCGGATGCGCTTGAGATTAGGACATGTGAGCAACGGGTTACCAGGAAACTCGCAAAAGAGGGCCAAATATCGTTCCCCACGCTCAAGCCGATGCTGGATATCGTCCAGCTCAACCTCGGTAGCGTTGCCGTAGAAGACACACCCAGGACCAAATTTCTCGAGTATCTTCAAGGTATCCACATAGGGGAATCCGAAGCTTATGCTCTTCATGTTCCCACGTGTGCCGAGAAGGAATTGGTGGGTGTGAAATATGGCACTCATTCCGGTCGGGAAGATGAAGACGTCGTCAGTCAAGTCATGAGTACTGGAGCTGCGTGGTCCTACTTCGATCGTAGTCCCGCTCTCTGCGTGTGCATTGAGATGGGGCCTCAGCATACTGGCGATACGTTGTTGAAGTACTTCTTTGGCTTTTTTGGAATCGCTTAGGAGGATCTCGACTTCCTGACCAAACCCCTTTTTCGCACAAGGCATGGGTTCTTGCCGCATGATGCCTCGTAATGGTTGGCTGATTCCCGATTCTGAAGAAGACAAAATCTCTTTCTTCGATTCTGGGGGATAATAGAGCGGGGGACCATGGCTGTTCATCTGTTTCGTCGACTGGACGCGATATTCTGGTACAAGTAGAGCCTGCTGGAGGAGACAATGGCAGAACTCCGCTCGTCTACTGGAAACACCGAGTCCACTATGCTGCCAAAACTGTTTTGCATACTTGAAAGCGTCCGGGTGAAAAAAGACAGCCGATATTGACGGGGAAAGCGGTTTCCAGTAAACAGCATCCGGATTGGAGTCATCCACGACTAAAGCGACAGTCTCAATACCAACAAGGGCAGGGGCTGGAGCATGAGCGTGCAGGAATTCTACACACAGCTGGGCAGCATATTCGTTGGGAAATAGCATGGCTCGTTGTCCTGGTATATGGCTGAAGTTTGAAGCAACAATCTGAGCGAAGGATTCTATGCTTCTGTGGATGAAGAATCTCGGGTACCCTGTGAGCATGTTGTCGACGACCCATCTCTCCCCCGTCGCCCAGCCAACATTAGACTCCCATGTCGGTAGAGAAACGCTCACGGCCTGGAGAAGTAGAAGTGGTCAGAAAATGCAACCTGACAGGTTTGATAGGCGTAACGGGAACTGACATGGTCTGTATGAGGGGGAATCGACTCTCCCAAAGGCAGTTGTCCCATTGCTTACACGTTGAAAAGGGTTGCCGAGACTCGAACATCATACAAAGCAGAGTTTGCAACAGCCGGGGGAAACATCGCCCTTTTTAAACGGCTGAGTCCACCCCAGGTAAGACAGCCAAGGATCGCCCCAAAAGCGGACAGCAAGAATTCCAACTCCTCATGGTTCTGTGGCACTTTGGTTTCACTGACGCCACAAGTGGGGATACGAGGTATTATGGTCACCAGAATGTTCAATGAAACTCTCCAGTGAGACTAAAATGGATGGAGTAGTGATGAGAGACTACTAAATTATTCTGGTGGACGAAGCTATTGGCTAAGGTCCACTTGGGGAAGGCATCATGCTTTATTTACTACGACGATGGGTAGTTCTGCGAAATCTGGAAACGTTTGCGGGGAGGTGGAACGAATTGGCCGGAAAATTGCTCCGAGACACAACATGCGGCTGTGAGACAACGAGGGGATGACGGCAAGCAGGTACGAGATGACGCGTAGCCGGATAGGGCGTAACCAGGCGATGATCCACAAGGGAATAGAAAGCAAATAATATTCCCTTTGGTTATATAGATGTGAGTCCAGAAGAGGACCGACCTGTTGTGGTGCCACTGAAACATTGTTGGAGCTCATATCTACTTGACCTAGCTTTAGCCATGCTTCAAGCTTGTGCAGCCCTAATCATACACATCGAAGAAGTCGCTATGAGATTAGGTTGGTCGCAGAGGTCTCTTGAAATTGGTTTTTGAGTTATCATGCTACACGAATAACTCGTATGTCCCATCACGATTCGCACCCAGGATACTCACGCAGTTGTGTGATTTAAGGCAATCTGACAAGTCACCTTGCACTATGGAAAGACTTCCTCGGGCCCAATTTCCCCTCCAATGACAATTCATCTCGGGAGCTTCCTAAACTTTCCGGGCAATCAGGCTGGGAGGATTGTGTGTCGGGATTGCGGCGGGGGTCATAAGCATGTCGGTTCTCTTGGCGTCACACAGATAGAGCCTGATCAAGCCCGTATTTCAATCAGGCTTCGGGAACCACCGAGCTTATTGGTCTAAAAGTGCAGATTTGATACGTTTATTTGGATGTGGCTGGGCTCAGCCCCCGGATAGATGCGGAAGGTCTGTCAGACGACACGGCAGGGACGAAAGCCCGCTTGATATATATTAGCCCTCTTCAGAGAGGACGTGAAGTCCGTAGAATGGAGTCTAGATTATGCATTCGCCATGTCTCAACGGAACTGGGCAGAAAAGTCCTCTGGATACGAACCTGCTCGCGTCTACGATGTGGACGACGAACCTTCACGACCGGATCCTATCGTATACAAACGCTTCAGCCTTTTTAGCTGCACCGAATGGGTCTTGGAGATTATCACGTCTATCGGGAGCCTGATCATTCTTGCGGCGGTGGCTGTCATCTTCAGGACAGTGGATAATCAACCTCTATCGAACTGGACCTTCCCCATTTCTCTCAACGCCGTTATCTCGATATTGACTACTGCTTGTTCAGCGGCTATTATGCATGGCGTCAGCACATTAATCAGCCAGCTGAAGTGGCTTCATTTCAAAAATGGACCTCAGAAGCTGGAACACCTGGAAAGGTTTGATGAAGCCAGCCGTGGACCTTTGGGATCTCTCAAGTTTCTGGTCTTTAGCAACCATCGGAGCCTTGGTCACGATTTTCCGTCTTGTTCTATCACCACAGGCTCAACAAGTGGTGAAGATTGAGGAACGTTTCATTCCTAACCGAGACAATAATGTCACCTTTGGTTATACGCACACATACAATCGAGTTCTTGATTATCCCGACTTACGTATGTGTGTTTCGATCTTTGAAGACGAATTCACCTTGTTTCTAACTGTTTTACCTTTCAGGTGGTATTCCTCAGGATCCCAAAATGCAGGCCGCCATCCTCCAAGGACTCTACGACATAAACACCCCGGCAACATTTACCTGCCCCGTTGCATGTGAATGGAAGGGATCGTATGTGTCGTTGGGATTCACTGCCGAATTCAAAAATGTTACACAGAAGACATTGGAATCAAAAACTTGTCGAACCTCGTTGTACAACGAATATTGCAACACGACGACGCCCGGAAATATAGGACTCTATGCCCAAAAAGTCTTTACCTCCTTGGGTACTAGATTTTACATGAACGCGTCCCTCGCAGTCGAGTTTCCTGAAATCTCCCGATTTGGCATATACCAAGCAACTCCCGATGTAAACTTCAACCAGTCCAACATCAACATCACGGAGTGTTCACTGTCAATGGCTGCTTACAAGTACACGGGCGCAAAGTCAGAGAGCACATCGTTTTTCTTCGCAAAGACGGAGATGATCCAGTTCAGTGGCAATCGTTCCGGCCCTCAAAGCGACCAACACAATATCTTAGAGGGCATGGAATTCACCAACGGAGACAAAGCCAGTGATTTACCTGCATTTCGGATGTCTTCGTATGACTTAAACGCGTTGGGGCAATTCTTTACGTCTGGGGCGTTTGTCACCTATTGGGTCGACGGGTCCGGGACCAGCTTTGATAATAAGGTTTCCGGCCTTAGCGCCGCTGCGTTGGCGGGCGACATAGACATCGGAGAGCGATTTAAAAAGATGGCAGTCAGTATGACGGATTACCTGCGCTCGGGGCCAAACAACAATTTGGCAGTGGGATACAGGGTAGATCAAATACCCTACGTGTCAATTCGGTGGTGGTTTTTCGCTGGCCCTGTTGCGATCGAAGCTTTTGCACTGTTGTTCGCGGTGTTGACTATCTTCAGCAACCGAGAAAGCAGCAGAGTCCTTTTGTGGAAGTCCTCCGCTCTTGCGGTCTTGGCATGCGAGCACGAGAAGAAATCAGAACTACTGAGGACTAAGGCCAAGGATATCAAAAAGATTGAGAAAACGGCCAAGAACTTTTTGGTCAAGCTGGAGTAATATTGCAGGAAATGCGGCATTGCTGTAATTATTAGCAACATATTTAGCTTTCTGCTTGCTGTCTTTGTCCTGGGTGCCAAAATGTCGTGACATTGGATGGCTCGAGAAATATTCAGTTCGTGGATGGCAGTAGCGATGATGTTGGCCACTTCCTGGAAGTCACCGAAATTCGTACTTGAACAAAGACATGCTCGTTTCGCCACATTACTTACTGATCTCAGTTGAACGGCTCATTGATCGCTCTTCGGGTCAAGTCGCATTGTGCTTACCTATTTGTAGACGCGATCTCATTGGCTCCGGAAGAAGCCGGGTGCGCTTGAGGGTCCGTGCAGACAAATTCAACTTCGCGTCGTGTTCGATTATTTTCACATCTACAAATCATCCCGCCTCCATTCACACTCACGAACTTATGAACGGACGTCTGCTCAGGTGCTGTTCCCTCCGCGCCGGGGCCTACTCTGCATTCGCTTGCCAGACATCTAGACCGCTGCTGCGGCGCCTGTCAACGTCGCCTCAAACACGCTCGACTGTGGAGCATCATCAAAATCACCAGATGGAAGCGGACACTCCTCCGATCGCCAGCCTCAACATCAAGCTGGATGCCAACAGTGTCCTTGAACCAGATGAAAATGACGATCTTGATCCGGCCCTAGAGGAGCCTGAGCTGCCCCCGCCGCCTCCGCCACCACCGGCGAAGGCACCGAAGGGGTCCCCACTCGAATGGCTATATTTCCCGACGAGAGGTCTCGCAGGCACAATCACACTTGACGAGATTTTGCCGTCCACTGTTCCGATCACCACCACTGGCGGCTTTGAGACTCTTTGTTCTTATAATTGGGTGGACACCAAAGATCCTACCATCATTGTTCCAGGCAAGTGGATCCAGGTCAACCCGACGGACATCTACCCGCCTGAGTCCCCTCACGTCTCAGTGACAAATAGCTGACTTTCTGCAGGCGGTGCTGCCAAATTTAATAGCCCTGTCTTACCGGTTAGGATCAAGCGGGATACCGGTTACACGTTTTGTGATCTCAATCGGGCCAAGGCTCCCCGGCAGCCATTCAAGGGATTATTCACTGCCCTGGCCGTGATGTCTCCAAATACGAAGCTTGACGACGTTGACGTGATCTTGACCCGTGGTGCTTTTCAAACTCTGCACAAGTTCGTCAAGAGTGGATGCTCAACTGCATTCATCCTACAGATGAACGTCATCAACAAAACTCTGGTTCTCACATACAGAGAAGAAAAGAACAAGCGAGCCAGCAGCAGGAAAAGCCCCAGCTGGGGCCACGCGTTCGAAGAGGGTTTCACTGCATACGATGACGATCTCAAGGAAAGCCTCGCCCATCACAGAGCCATCAAATATCAGTTTGGCAGCCTCAAAGTTGCAGTTCTTCATGAGGTAGACGCCTCATACTCTGGATCATTCGGATCGCCAGGGCCCGAGGAATCTGCTGAAAGGAAGGCAAAGTATTTGGAAAAGAGGAGCGGGGCCACCAATCTTGGACATTTGGTGAAGTCAAATCAAGATGTGGCAGTAAGACTTTTTGGGACTGGGACAGCAGCCGAGAACGTTGCGGAGATGAAAGCGACGCAGAAGCCTTTGGCGTTGACTGGTGTCCCCAACGAGGCAAAGACCCAGTGTTGGTTTGGCAGGACCGGGACTCTCATATTTGGCATACATGAGAACGGCATCTTCAAAAAACATTCCGTCAGGCAGTTCGAGTTTGAGCCCTGGTGCCAGAACGCACAGGAACCCTTGCAGAAAGTCGTCTCCCTTTTCGAAAAGCTCCGTGAGCAGACCCGCCGCATCGGCAACTGCGGCGTAGCGATTCTCAACCCCAAAAGCTCCAGAACGCGACTGGAAATTTGGACGCCTATTCGAGCACTTGTCTTCAAGCCAGTTTCACCCGACAGTTTTTACAGGCATTGGACTTTCCAAAACGATTCCACAAATTATGGTTTTGTGCAACCTAAGGACCGTCGGAGAAAACATGAGTTGGGGGGGGCCGGCAGGCATAATTCGCTAAGATGATCATTGAGGTTGCGGCGATGGCGTTGGGCGGAAGGACATATCGGGGAAAGGATTACAGCGACACCTTATTCTGGCGGGGTTTTGTTAGTGGAAAGATGCATTTGACCAACCTTGGTTTCTCTGCAGCTGGTTTCGGTGCCGATGGAAATCCCCACATTGGCTTTCGGCGCCGAGTTGATGTAACCTTCATGTACCGACCATGAAACCAAGCGGGACCAGGCTCGACTTTCAGCCCGAAGAAAGCAGCCAGGATGTGGTTGATCGGTCAGTCTTGGTCGGGAACCTGCACAGTGATACGTTTAGAACGGCATACGGCAATTGAGTTCATCCCGTACGTGTGGGGACGAAGTTCTTCACGGCCACATCATATAAGAAGTGTGCGGTATCGAGACGGCTCTCCTTGTTTCCTTTACCGCTTCACCATCATCTGACCGAATATTTCCCCTGGCATCATTTTGATAACTTACTTAGCTATGAGTTTCAAGGCAACCGATGTCCTCATTGTTGGGGCTGGGCCCGTCGGCCTGGTTACGGCCCTCGGTCTCGCGCAACAAGGCATCGACACAGTTATCATTGGTTAGCTATCCTGACTTGCCATCATGTTAACCGATTCTAACATCTGTGTAAAGAAAAGCGGGAGCTGGAGGTTCAGGAGTCCTTCGGTCGAGCCATCACTCTCTTCCCCCGCACCCTCGAGCTCTTGGAGCAGGTGGGCGTGGCCGAAGACATGGTTCAAGTGGGAAACGTCGCACGAGGAATCGCCGCCTACCAGGAAGGTAAAAGAACGCCAGCCGTGGGCCAGCAGACGATGTTCACCGCCATGAACGGAACGTTTCACAACTACGTTCTCAACATCCGACAGAAAAACTCCCAGGCGATCTTTGCAGCCAAATACAAGGCCGTTTCGGGAAACGAGGTCCAATATCAATGGGAGCTCATCGATTATCAAATCGACCAAAGCCCTCAGGACGGTTACAATATCACAGCTGTCCTTCAACATCCCCAGCACGGCAGAAGCTCGGTTAGGTGGTATGTCTCCTCCAACGACATGCTCCAATGCCGTGGAAAAGGCTAATTTTCAAAAGCAAGTACCTGGTCGGCGCCGACGGTGTACAGTCTCAAGTTCGACAACTTGCAAATATTGAAATGGTCGGCGACGAAACAGCCTACGAATGGGTCCGCTTCGACGGCCGTATCATGACCGACGTTCCCGACACTGAGCTTGGTTTTGTAACGATCCAAAGTGCCGAGTATGGCAATGTCTTCTTGGTCAGACTCGATAAGGATGTGTTCCGCATTGGATACGTGTTCACCCCGGGGCTGAAGGCCAAGTATCCCGACGGTCTTACCAAACAACAGGCTCTCGAGGAGGGACTCAAATCCTTTCACCCCTTCAAAGTCGAGTTCGAGCGGCTCGACTGGTGGACCATCTACACGTAAGTTGACTGTGTTTTGGGAAGCCAGGGATCTCATCTGACAATCGAATCAGTATCAGGCAAAAGGTGGCCGAGACCATGAGCAAAGATGAGTTCGTGTTCCTTGCGGGCGATGCTGCCCACACCCACTCGTCCGGCTTTGGCCAGGGCATGAACACCGGAGTCCATGATGCCATCAACCTCTCCTGGAAGCTCGCCGGAGTTATCAGGGGATTGTATCAACCAGGAGTCCTTGATACCTATTCTGAGGAGCGCCGTGCCGTCGCTCAGAAGGTCATTGACATTGACAAGACTCTGGCGGCGGTGATGTCTGGCGACCTTCCCGAGACATGGAACGGATGTAGCGGCAAGCCTGAACACAGCAAGGTTCTGAGCGACTTGCTGACGTCGAACGCCAGCTTCAACATCGGCTTCGGCGTCAGCTATGGACCCTCCATCATCGTCGACAAGGCCTGCACCGGCAGTCTGGCCGTGGGTTACCGCACCCCTGACGTGCTACTCAAATCGCCTGGTGCTTGCACTCCCATCCGCCTGCAAAGCATCATCCACAAGAACACCGGGAAGTGGAACCTGCTCATCTTCGCTGGTCGCCATTTCCAACAGAGAGAAAAGCTGGCTGCACTGCGTGAGGCGCTGAAGTCTACGAATTCTCTCACCAAACACGCTCAGACGTTGAGCCTCACGACCATTGTGTCCGGTACTATTTCCAACACATGGGACGTTTTCGACGGGCTTCCCCCGAGCTTCGTCTACTGCGACGTTGACGGCCAAGGACACAACAGCTATGGCATGTCGGCCACAAGCGGCGGGCTTGTAGTACTTCGCCCAGATGGCTTCTTGGCTGCTACTTACCCCATCGAAGATATTCAGGAAGTCGCTGCTTTCTTGGACGGTTTCTGTTCTGACAACACCAAAGCACTCCCCATCGTTTAAGAACATGTACCTAGACCTTTGAATTCCCTACCTTAGACCCATTATAGACTTCTGCAGTTCAGGAATTCGATTGTACCTAAATTAGAGAACTGGTTCTTTAGATTTGCAGACTAAAAATCATTCAAACATTCATAAGGACGGCTAGAGATCTCGATAGTTCGATGATTCAAATTGAACCAGGTCTTGTAGACGCTAGTCTTAGGCTGCTAGCTGATTCCCTAGGTGAGCGTACCAGAGACCACAGGCTACAACCAGTGGCTGTAACGAAGCCCATCTGCAAAATTCTAAACGGAACCATCTCAATTCATCAAGAATCACTCTCATCAACCCCACAAGCCTGTCCTCTGTCGCCGCTCGACCTTAGATTATCGAGGAAGTCAATCCCAAGAAAATCGCCAAACCATGGCTCCATTTGATCAAACATCTCTTCAAAGCCATGGTCAACTGCGGCTTCGACTTGGTCGGCAGACTCATTTGGTTCCATGCCCGCACGAACAGTGTTCCCGTTTTGCCTGTCTTCAATTGCCGCAAGGTTTAGATCTACGCGATCCAAAGCCCACTCAAAGATAGACAAGACCCTCTTGATGACCGGTGAGTCCTGGAGCTGCTCTAGAAGAAGCATTCCTTGACGAATGTAGATCAGCGACATTGATTTGGCTGTAGTAGACTCGGTAGCGTCTAGAGCAGCCTCTATGTGGAGTGCAAGTGCTATTGGGATATTGGAATTGCTTGTAAGTCAATCGTCAGCCTATTTTCTCAATTCTCAGGGTGTCTAAATGGGGACCTACAACGACATGGGGAGATTTCTGAGTTGGTCATTCGCAAGTGCTCTCCCAAACAGCGTGTCAAGTTCGAACATTGAAGATCGAAGCCGCGCCCGCGCCCAATCACGTCGAGCAACATCTCCAGACTTCCAGAATAGTTTGAGCATTCTGTAAAGAATGCACTCAAGTCGATAGCTCGCTGCAAGAAGGGACGTGAGGTAAGGGCTATCAACTAGCTGATAAGCTGCGTGACTCGTTTCTCGAAGTTGGCTCCGCCAAGCACAAAATTCCCGAGCCATGTCTTCACCGTCCACGCGACCAGGGTTAGATACTCCCAAGAGCCATCGAGATCCTAGTACCATCAGGTTAGGCGAGTGTTCTCTACGTGTACGCACTGCTCACCCGGAGACTTACCTAGTACAGACAACTTGCAGTACTCAATGAAATAACATTTCTGTTCACTGGTGACCATGGAAGGGAATGGTGCATTCATATTGTCACTCTCAGTTTCCCAATCTTCTTCGGTTGGCAAAGATTGTGGTTGCGTCTTGTCACTGACTAGAGGCATGCTCTGCATACCCAGAAATGATAATAACACATCTCGACACTTAAATGAAGAGTCAGTCTCAATTGCAGATTAGTCTGGACTTGAAACGGTCAACTCACGTAGATCACCCACCAAATTCGCTTGTACAGGCCACGTATTTGGGCGTCCGGGACTCGTAGCTGGTCACTGAAGTTTGCCCCCGTAATCAGCTTCGTCTTCGGGCTTGTGGTAAGAGAATGATGAGCACTCACAGCTTTTGCAGTTCCAGCTTTGTGGCAAGTCGGACAGCGTTAAAGAACCAGTAATGAACGTCTCGGTCGATTGGGTAAAAGAACGCAGTTGTACCCAATATCAGAGATCCCTGGAGCAAACATAGTTGGCTCTTCTCGCATTGAAAGTCGTGTAGTAATAACGCCTTATTGAAGAAGGCAGTTTGCGCCTCCGTCATATTCGAGTATCCACATGATGTGAGGACATCAGTTGGGACGTAGAGAGTAGCACTTGTTAAAACCGTCTGCATGAGAAATGGTGAATAAGACCCCGCCTCGTAACTGCGTAAAAAGTGATTTTTATCCAGAACGGGCGAATATGGATGAACAAACTCGAAATACGCGTTGAGAAAGACCGTTCTCCATTGCTGATGTCAGTCCTGTGGAACCATTCCAAAGATTGGTATTGCATTACTCACAAGCTGTCCCGATGCGGTAACACAAAGGTACCCTTCTTCATCAAGAAGTCCAGATCCACTGGATCCAAACCAGATATACCTATCTGCGGGTTCTGGGGATAGTGCGGGGTACTATTAGCCGAACTTGTGGCAGGAGATCCAAGCCTAACACTTCCGCTTCTCTCATTGCCGCTCATCGCTGTTTTGAGTATACTGAGATAGTGAACTCTGCCGTTATACTCTGCCTGCGCCTGGGGAAGTTCATCAATGTTTTGTACCCTTGGGGGCGAGCGACCTGAGACAGTAGAACTCGTCGTTCTCTCAAGTTCCCTAGGTCCATGGATCCTGTCAATTGGCCGAATTGAAGGGCGGGGACTGTCATTTGGGAGACTTGTATCGTTCACGGAAACATGACTTGATGTCAATAGTGCGGGCGGTTGGGCCTCGGAATCCTTCTTCAGTCAGCCTTTCAGTCTCAATACGTACTGTGTAAGGTATGTGGAACTAAGGCTGCTCAAAAGCACAAGATGAAGATAAGGTTAGTCTCTCACATTTGGATTACAATGTTCCTCTCGTGTTAACACATCGGCTCTTCGCCTCCTTGATGATTACCGTCAGCGGGATGATCCGGATGCCATCCATCCAGTATCCACCTACCTCTTGCGTTGTTGACGCGACACCAGTTTGCAATTCTCCGGATATCCTTTGCTGACACATCGGCTGCAGGGTATTCCAGCAACAGGCGCATCGCATTTGACCTTGCGCGAATGGCACTCGATGCACGCCTTGCTAAGCCTCGCCGCGGCTGCTCCAACATCGGCGGCGGTCGTCATCTGTGATCTGTGATCCACTCCGCGTCGGAGCAATCCGCTGCCAAGAGGCTTCGTTGTCGGATCCGTGAACTGGCGGCTTTTCGGAAAAGGAAAGATGATGATGGGGAGTAGAACAATCGTTGAGTACACAGGCTGGCTTGGGAGAAAGGAACTCATCAATGATTTCGGCGCCGAAAGAAGACCCACTGTTCGGCAATACGGCTTTTCGGCATTTACAGACTTTCCGGAGGGACCGGGGTCCGTGACTCGTTTGGTGAACGGCTCAAACTCATTTTGAGTGTCTACTGCAAGAGATTGCCATTCGATTGAACTTCCTCGATATACAGATGATTTCGTTTAAGTATGTGCCCTGGACATACTTGGAAAACGGTGTCAGGATTCATAGTGCCCGGCATCCATCAGGGATTCATCCGTACAGCCACCATGCGGCTCCAGCAACAGCAACAGGTCCCATGATCAGCCCAATCTTCTTGCCCAATCCTTTCAACCCGTTGACGGCGATGATCTTCACCTTCTCGTCTAGCCAAGCCTTCTCATTCAGGTGCGGGAAAGGGACCTCAGGGACATCCTTGCCCAAGAACTCGCAAAGCGGGCCCCACCCATCCGCCAGATCGAACTCGAGCAACCTCTCCTTCGGCGTGACCCTCCTCAAAATCTCATAGTGCTCGCGATACTTCTGTCTCGCTTTGGCCTCGGCGTCTTTCACATTCCAGATATCCAGCCACCCGCCGGTTACACTCCGGTGAATCTTGCCAATGGGATGGACGTAGAACCGGTCAAGCTGATACACCAGACTAATAAACGGGTCAAACATATTCGCAACGACGCCCTGCATGTAACTCTTATGCCAGCTCTCGACCTCCCTCTCAACAAGCACAACCTTGGCCTCAGGATACGCCGCAATAAGCTCCTCCGCAAACGCGACCGCCGGCGTGTCCGACGACACGGCGCCGTACGAGTGCAGCAGCTGGTCAAACTCGTCCCGCCCGACCGGCGCGCCGGCGCCGAAGAACTTGCGGTCGACGGCCTCCTGCCACATCTCAATGTCGGCGAAGTTGGTCGACATGAAGACTGTCGAGTGCCAGCAGGGGATTCCTAGCTTCTCGAGCGCGGCGCACATTGCTGTTCCGCGGCTGAGGTTAGAGTTTATGCGCGCGCCTGAGTGTGGTTGGGACTGGGCCTTACATGACGTGCCTGTTCGGGGGAAGCCCAGGCACAGGACCTGCATCGGCACGGTTCTCTTCTTCCCGCGCGGGGACTCGGTGCTGACCGGGCGGAAGAGCTCCGGGTGTCGTTCTTCTACGGTTGCCATGGCGGGCGGGCATTAATAGGGGATGATAGTGGAAGCCGTCTTATGTCGTGAAAACTAGAATAGATGTCGTCAAAACGAGGCACTCTGGCAAGATTTTTGAATCATCCACCGTAAGACCATCAATTGTGATGCCCCAACCCCCTCAACTGTTAATGTGCTTACGTGAGACTTGATGTCCAAGACGTGGTGGCGTTGAAGGAAGAACTTTGGTCGAAAAAGGCCAGGGGAGATCTTATCGATTAGATCTCAATGTCTGGATTCACACTTCATCACGCAGTCGTGTTCACTAGAAAATTGGGACGTTGGTACGTAATCTCATTTTACCCATCCGAGGATCTTCCGGGATACGGCATGCTCATTTGGGAATGCATGCATCACGGCATGGACCCGACTCTATGGTTAAAGTAGAAAGTGGCGGGGCATGGCGTCGTTGGAGATGCGTGTCTAGGGAACGCACGTGAGGGCCATAACGGTCGCGGAGATTTTGAAGACGACAAATGCAAGAAGTTCGGACCGTTGCCTGGTCCCATCTGAAATCCATACCTCATGCATCATTGGAGTTTAAGGGGTACACGGGATGATTTATTTAAAGATGAACACCTCGCGACCAGCAAGCTCAGAGCGAAAGCCGAGCGGCTCAGTCAGGACAAGCCCCCTGTTGTGCCACCCGAACGACCGACCCCGAAGGCGCGCATGGATGGATCACAGTTTGTCAGCTCGTCTGGAATTCGGCCGGCCGTGGAAGTAGGTATCCCTCATGATGTTGTTTATATGCCGATTCGCGGCGGAGCCATCGCAGGAATACCGGTCGCCGTACCGAAATGCAACATCACACACGGCTTCACTGCTTATTCTACCATGGTCCATTTCATGTGACATTCTCCCCGGATCACAAACCGAAAAACGCACCAATTCATCAACAATAACAGCCGCTAATCAAACTATGACATAATCCCACCGTCCCTCAAAACATGGCGCCCCTTCGGAGCGGGGACGGGGCGGCGCGCCATCGGGGTCTCCCCACCACGAGTCCGAAGTGCAAAAATAGGGGTCGCCCGCCCGGACACTGCACTGCACCCACGTCCCTTGCAGTAGCACGCGTGTAAGCGGGAAGACAGAGACCGCGCAGCAACCTTGAACGTTACCAAACCAACCAAGCGATGAACGATCCCACCGTCCGGGCCTCCGTACCTTGCTGAGGCCCGGGCGTCTGGCGGCAGTCCGGCGACGCGCCATTGAACGCAGCGACCTCCGACGGTTTACGTGAGTTGGCTTCGATCCCTTTCGCTTTGCGGGATGAGTATAAACATTGAAAAACCCCGCCCATTGAAATAGTCTTTTCTTTCATCTGCTTAATCGGATTATCCTATTCGACATATGACGACAATTTTATACCCGAATTTAGACGAGTAATTTCGAAAAGTAGACATAATGGCGTCCCCTGCTGGCAACATCACCTTCGATGGTAGGTCTTCAGATATGGACTACCAGCAATACGAAAACTGACGAGAACCTGCAGACTACCTCGGCCTGACGGCCTGCCTCTTCGAGTGGGCCGACTCCTACGACTCCAAGGACTGGGACCGTCTCCGCAAGTGCATCGCCCCAGAGCTCCGCGTACGTCCCCCCTCCACCCATCTCCCCCAATCCATCACTACCTACCCAACTCCCGCCCTCGCGCCCCCCCTGCGCCCCTCCCACAACCCCAACCCCGTCTCCTCGCTCCTCAGCCGCCCGGTGGAGGGCGGCGACGATGACGACCAATCTCAAACTCACATGCCGCACCAGATCGACTACCGCTCCTTCCTCGACAAGATCTGGGAGGCCATGCCGGCGGAGGAGTTCATCGCCATGATCAGCGACAAGTCGGTCCTCGGCAACCCGCTGCTCAAGACGCAGCACTTCATCGGCGGCACGCGCTGGGAGAAGGTGTCGGACACGGAGGTCATCGGGCACCACCAGCTGCGCGTGCCGCACCAGAAGTACACGGACGCGAGCCGCAAGACGGTCGCCGTCAAGGGCCACGCGCACAGCTACAACATGCACTGGTACAAGAAAGTCAACGGCGTGTGGAAGTTTGCCGGGCTCAACCCCGAGATCCGCTGGTCCGAGTACGACTTCGAGGCCGTGTTTGCCGATGGCCGCGACTCGTTTGGCGAGGACGAGAAGAGCGACGTTAAGGTTGTGGAGAAGGAGCTCAAGTCTGCGGTTGCTCACTAAATATGTCATATGGGCGTGGAATGGGATATGGCGAAATTGGGTGTCACTTTTTGGGAATGGATGGAGGTAATGTAGGTGTTTGTATAGGGGCTTATTTGTGTATAGACGTACCCTGATATCAAAATACTACACTTACCTTCACAAATCTTGCAATACCGTGAAACCCTGTTGACGAGTGAAACTTCCCTTACTGAGTAACACGAGAACTTACTGCGGCCCCTCCGGTCCTCGTCCAAGTCCCCAACGTTGTCCCATCTGCTCCTCCCGCTCACGCTCTCGCGCATGGTTGATAGCAAGTGTAATCTCATGCTCAAATTGATGCGACCCGCGCCCACGCGCTCGTTCGCGCGCAAGCTCCAGCTCCAACGCATCGACAGTAGCGACCTGCAACATGGAATTATACGAGCACAGGGGGAACCTACATTTCATACAAGGCACACCCGGCATCTCGGTGTCGTTGCGGCAGAAGCAGGGGTACGCGAGATCGTGGGGGCAGCGCTTAGAGACATCAGGACGGCCCGGGTTGTCACGCTGCTCGTCTTGGGCTGGCCACGGGTTCACGAAGGCAGGGGTCTCGACGTCTTGGAAGCGCGGCTGCGGGCGGGGGAGGCTGAGAGGATGGGCGGCGGGCCGTCGCTGGCCGATGCTAAGGGGGTGGATGAGGGGTGGTTGTTGGGTGTTGTTGGCGATGCGTGCGGGCCCTGGGTCGGTATCGTAGACGGCGTTGGCGGGGGCGAGGGCGCCGCGGCGGAGGTAGTCGATGAAACGCGGGGTCTGTGGCTGTTGGGAGACGGGCCCGTCAGTAGATGTTCCACCGATGATGGTAGGGTTGGCTAGATGCTCAGGGGTTGTTGAGAAGGAATTGGGAGGTTGGGTTGGCGGGGTGTTGGTGTTATCTTCGATATGGGCGAATTCAATGTCCGGGGTCTCGGGACGGATAGGGCTAGCGTTCTGGTGGGTGTCGTCTCTAGAAGCCATTTTGATTGGTATGTGATAGTATAGGCTAGTGATGCTGTTGAACTGGTTTTCGAGGTTTGATGTGGAATACTGGGATGTGTTTGATGTACTGATGAGAAGAGTTGACCTTCGTGAGCAGCATCCGGTGTTATTATATCCATAGTTAATGAGAGCCAGCAGGTCAAAGGGGAATACCATAGGTGAATGAAAACAAAGTCATTGTGTTGAAACCATTAAAAGTATATCTCTTGAGAATGAAATGGGCGTCATTGGGCGTGAACAATCCTTGTTCAGGTTGACTTTGACCATAGACAACGGACAAGTAGCAAAGGACCCGAACAAGTCGTAGGTCTTTATTCCCACTGGATTGCAGAAACAGATTAGATTATATGAGACCAATCGGATTATCTAGATGACTGGAGCCCACAGCGGTCGAAGATTTCATCGTTTCGATCAATCCTAGGAGTTGCTCAAGCCGGAGCTCAAGAGAAGCAAAAGTTTTTGATTGAAGTGGGATAAGCAGAATGCTAAGCCTGATGCCGCAACATGAAACTTCGAAAAACTAACAATACAGCTGAAATAGGTGCAATCTCCAAGAATCAGCAAAGACATCCTGCCATCTCCTCGACTGTTGAAGTCAGTCCGGAGCAAACGGAGGTAGTGGAGTCAACCCGGGGCCGAACGCCGTGCTCCACACATCACGTGCGCAGCAGGACGAGGAGCTTGGGCCATCGGTGCTGGAGCTGATGACATAATGCAGTGGGCTCAGGAGGGGCAGAGGTGAACTCGGCAGTGCACGGAGCAGGGGTCCCAAACGTTGACGGGGACTTGGAGAGCTCCGTCGGAAATCGGTCTCGGATCCTGGACTCGAGCAACCATTGCCTGCCACATCACCCCACGAACTCGACGGCCTTTGCAGCAATTCTGGAAAGGAATTTCACAATCCTGTGGTTCACCACACGCTGCAACATCACGGAGGACTTCCAATTTCTTCCGAAATCAACCATCGAACCTCGCCTGACGAAGCCGCTGCATCCGCGCCGTCACGATGGACTACACATCCCAGCGGCTTCAAGAAGAAGCCGTCAAGCTCCAGACAGCGAGGTACGTCCAGCTACCTCCTCCCTCTCGTCTCTAATACAATGACTGACCTTCACCCTGCAGCTCCGACGCCTTCTTCACCCCTCTCAACATAATCCTCCTCCTCGTCCTCGGCTACACAATCTACTCGATGCTGGCCCCGACCCCGCCCCCGATCCTGCCGAAGGAGCCGCCGGCGACCGTCTTCCGCGTCTTCAACCCGCGCACGCTGCTGCCCTTCAATGGCGAGGAGGGCAAGCCCATCTACTTCGCGGTGCGCGGCCGCGTCTTCGACGTCACGCCGGGGCGCAACTTCTACGGCCCCGGCGGGCCGTACGCCAATTTTGCGGGCCGCGATGCGTCGCGCGGCCTGGCGTGCGGCAGCTTCGACGAGGACATGTTGACGGAGGACCTGGATGGACCGCTGGACACGCTGGAGGGCCTGGGGCCGGACGAGGTGGAGGCGCTGCAGGGCTGGGAGGAGCAGTTTGATAGCAAGTATTTGGTCATTGGACGGCTTGTCGCTGTGGGCGAGGAGCCGGAGGAGGATAAATAAAGAGCGCTCGTGTTGAATTTAGAGGGGAGTGATGGATGGTGGCGGAGGTGTAGAGAGCGAGGTTTAGATCAGATGGGAGGATTTGATAGATTTTTGGTGTGTGGATGAGTGTCACACGCGACAGATATCAAGCCTCAAGCCACGCCGTTGTTGTTTTGTCTTTGTGAGATGATCCATTCTCGGGGAGATGCAAGGTTGATCGACCTCTTTGCCGTGACACGTCGAGGATGCGGGCAAAGATGGGTGCTCTTTGTGGCGTCGGCTGCATCATGAACGATTGACAAGCCATCTGTATTGTCTTGAAGCCGAGGCCGCTTGTTCGCGGTGCAACATTACAACAATCCCATCAGGCACGTTTCCCAGGGCCATTGTTGCAACACAATAGCGCGATCCCAGGGAGGCTTAGGGGAGGCAGCAGTGAAAGTAGCCAAGTCGAGGCTAGTCAGATTATAGCGCCAGACGCCCTCGAGTGCGAGCGTGAGATGAGACGGAGGGGACTGCTGACAGCGGTGGCTGGTGTAGCCAGTTTTCCAGTGTCAGCAGGCAACCACATTTCTGAGGGGGAAGGAGAGATTGGATCCGCGTGGCTCAACGACTTTCTGCGGAGTTTATTTCAAGCCGTCGTCGCAGCCACCGTGTCTCGACACAGCGACGGTGCTGTGGGATGATCCTTCGCTCAGGTTGTTGGCCGGGTCTGGCGGCATCCGGAGAGCCGTTGACGAGCGCAGCCACGGAGGTTTGGGCACGTTGGCAGAGGAAGATGAGACGAAATCGGACCCGGGTGATGATGGGCAGGGCGGTGTGGGTTAGGTGCGGTGCGCTGGAAATGATGATGCGATTGTCTGAGAAAGGCTACCGTTGCCGTCGCGCCGGAAACGGATCGGTGATCTCACTCGTTTGCTGCAAGATACGAGGTGCCGAATTGCATTGGTGCTCACGTGCTATCAGTCTGGGTCTACCACAGACGATCTGCTTCCCATCCCCCCATCGCCCTCCTTATCTTGACGACAATGAACAAAGTTCTCCTCTAGGAAGCAAAACAGCCGACTCCAAAGACCGACGATTGTTGAACACGTTGGGAGGCTGTATCGATATTTCGAGGTGCAGCAGATGCAGATGCAGATGCTGGATTCGAGCCCAGGCACGGGGAGGCTTGTGGACCTCTAAAATTAGCGACTCCTCGATGAATTCCAGGCCTAGCGCAGATCCTGCCACACGCCAACAGCCGCTGTTCTTTCCTCATTGTGCCGTATCTTTCTGCCTGTGGCACCCTGCCCGGATAGATGCTTTGCAGCAGGTACCATGCAACCCAAGGAAAGCAGCAGCGCAGGTGTGGCACAGCCTCTGCCGCTCAGCAGACAGACGGGCTGTCCTGTGCCTCTCTCGGTCTCCTGCGCTCTCTGATTGGCTTCTTTTCCCCTAAGCCCAGTGTCCCTGCCGTCATTTCTCGGGGAAAGCGCAGGGGAGATGCCTTCCTCCTGCCTGCCTGCACCTGCTCCGCCTTCAGCCCTAGGAGAGAAAGAGCAGCAGAGCGAGGGTGTGGGTGGTTGTTTCCTTTCTTGAACCAATTGCTGTGGAATGGAATGCGAGGTAAACATGGAAAGAGCCAGGCACCAAAGAAACAAGCTTCCTTCCTCGTCTCATCATTGGACCCGTGGAATGCAAAGATGCAAGAAGCTGCGCACCTCCCCAGTCCCTCAATCTCAGTCTGCTTCTTGTGCCCTTGTTCTCAGCCTCAGCCTCCATCTCATCAACACCCCAAAACCGGTCCAGTCGGCGCCACTGCGGCCACCAGCCATTCCATTCTGTCTTTAGTTTGCCTATCATCGGTTGCCGTCCCTGGTTTTAAAGACGCCCAAGGCGCCTCTTTCACCGTCTGTCTCGCTGCTTGACTGTTTTCCCTTTTCTGCTTCACCAAACCCTGCGTCACCTTCGATCGATACCCCTGCGAACCAACTCAGCGGGGCAGCAATTGTGAGACGATCAGACGAAGTAGTCGTCGAAAAACATCGAGTAATCCTCTCAGCAATTACCATTGGCATTGACTTCGATCCTTCCAGTCAAGTTTGGCCATCTCGAAATCGCATGGCACACTCGTTTTGCCAGTTCCAGTCCCAACACAGCGCACACCGTCGACCACGTACGACATCCCGGTCCACTACATCTCATCCCACTCCCGAATCGAATCGCGCACTTACAACGGCACCATGGCGCCGTCAAGGAGCAAGGCATTGAGCCTGCTGAGCATCCTACTCCTATCAACACCCATATTCGCCAAAGTCCAAAACGACTTTAGCTACTATCCTAGCGCAGCACAGCCATGCCTGTATTCCGCTTCCGACAGCAGTCAATGCGATGGCGACACCGTCGCGGAGATGAATAAGTGCCTTTGCAGCGACTCCAAGGGCAACTTCATCACGAACACCGCAAAGTGCTTGGGAAAAGACGCGAAGGGCTCCGTCTCGGAGACATACTCCGACCTCAAGACTTCATGCGCGAATTCCAACACACCTATTTCCATCACCGAGGACCAATTCAACAACCTCGCTGCCCAAGGGGCCACGGCCACCTCCATTCCAGTTACGCCGTCATCAACGTCAGCGCCGAAAACGTCCAAAACGGCAAGCCCCACAACTTTCATGACCACCACAACCGGCGGCGCGACCGTCACCGTTACCACAACACCTACCCCGACCGATGCGACATCCACTCCCACGGCTGCGGCCTCGGGCCTGTCGACAACCGCCAAGATTGGTATTGGTGTGGGCGGTGGCGTTGGCGCAGTTGCCATTGTTGGCATTATCGCATTCGTCTGGAGACTGAAGAAGAGCCGCTCTGCACACGAGGAGTCTCGGCCGATGCTCGACGGCGGAGTCGGTGCGACCGGATACAACCCGCACAACAGCCCGTCTGCCAGCGCCGCCGCGTTTGGTCTTGAAAACCCGAACGATTACAAGACTGAGACGAAGACGGGGGGATGGCGGCCGACGACAGATATCCCCCCTAGCGCGAGTCCCGGCGCGCAGACATGGGCAACAAACTCTCCTCAGCCCCCGTACGCGCCTTACTCTCCTCCGCCACCGCAGCAGCAACAGCAAATGCATGCTTGGGGGCACCACCCGCAGGCTGCATACCCGCCTGGGCCACAAGTAGCTCCCCAGCCTGGCGTTTTTGAGCTCGCATCTATACCCGTGCAGCCATCATATCCTCAGCCTCCACCTGATGCCGTCGAGATGCCGGCAACAGAGGTACAACCTCAGCCCGCACGATACCAATATCCATCACAGCGATGATTTGTACATACAAGAAGAAGGTGGCGGGAGGTAATCTAGCATGGATGTAGACTATATGTGATACCTGGAGATGCATATCATGGACGGGCATTTAGGCGTTTTGGGCCTGGACTGGAAAAGTCGGGTTATTGAATACAAACTTTTGATCTACCACAAAGGAAGTCTCTGAAATTCACGCAACTACTGTGATATCATTGTCATTTACCTAAGATGCGAAAATCACTCTACTTCTTTCCCGAGTTCGAGTTGGAACCACCGCCCGAGGAACCGGACGAGTTTCCAGACTTGTTGCCCGAGCTAGAGTTGGAGCCACCGCCGGATTGGTTCTTGGCCGCGGCAGCTGCAGCTCGTTTGGCGAAGGCGCTCTAGAATAGGCAGATTGTCAGCTACGCGTTTGAAAAATAAAAGTGAGAATCATTGGAGCCGATCAGGTACTTACATCCTTGCCCTTGGCGATGCGGGCCGCTGCCTTGGCGTCCATCTTATCGGAACCCATGGTTGATGTCTTTGTGAGATTTGGTTAGTTGGAGGTTTGCGTTTGAGTTACCTTGGTAGCTTGAAGTAGATGGTAGATGTTTGGTGAGTAGATGTTGTCTTGGGAGGTTTGAGACGGGCGATTTTGGTTCTTTATGTAGGGTTTGAGTTCAGCTGTTTGATTGAGTAAATCACTTCTGATTGAGTAAGATTAGTACTTTGTACCTGAACAGTGATGTACTCAAAGGAGTTTGGTTCTTATTTGCAGATTTCGTGTGGTAGTGAGGGAGTGGGAGTTGCTGATCCGTAACCCTGTACTGAATCACACGAGGAGAAGACAGTCCCGATATTTCCCCCGTGTACCAGTGTCACGTTCCCAGACTTGACTTGCAACTGCGATGCTGGACACGTAACCCGCGGGCCACATACAACACTGCGCAGTAATAGACCCGTCTTTTAGATACACCAATTTCCCAGCCTCGGGGAATGGAGTACAATTTCATTTAACCCAAAACTTGCAACCGCTCAATAGATTCAAATTACATAGTGTCTCCAATTTGGGCGCCCATATTTATTCACTGCCACTGACTGGATAACTGATCCACTAGCCAACTACCAACTCACTGCCATGAAATACAGACACCCATCTCCAAAAGCCGCGAATCAATCCATCTCGTGATCATTGATTCAGGGCACGCAAAACCTCTTCCTGGCATTGGGGTCCGATCCGCCGCGCTCAACGACACGCATCCGCTGGTGCTGCTATCGGATCTGTCGCCGGAGCCGGAGGACGACTTGCTGCTAGAAACCCGGAATAAATAGGTACAGGGCAGAAAGCAGGCGTGAGGGTGGGCGTGAAAGTGTCTAAGAGCAGGTCGGATAGCAGGCAGGAGGGTCACGCTGCGGTGATTGCGCTGAGGGACAATCTATGTCGACGGTCTAGTAATTAGGCATAGCATCACCGTTCTCCTGGCAGCCCTCACATAGTTTGTTTCAGTGGAACAGCCATCGACAAGGTAGGCTAATATTCAGCACGATTCTGTGTTGAAACATGACTCCAAAGCTCAGAAGCAGAGTATAGAAGCCGCAAAGAAAAAGGATATGGCCCCGCTGACATGAGATCCTCAACCGCTAGTCCGAGTTCTTTCAAAAGTTCTCTCAATATGTAGTGCAAAGGAAAAAGCATCTTCCAATCTTGGATCGCATACAAAGTGCAGCCCTCAGATCCCTCGCGCCCTAGACTGGGGGTTTGATCTTTCTGTATTCAGACCAGATGAGGGGAGGGTTCTCCATATTCATCCATCGCCAATTTTCCTGTTCCCTGTTGACAGGGTCCGGATCCCAACTCCCGGGCATACTAGTAGCCTGGTCATCAATCATGCTCCAGAAGTCTCCTGCGTATTCGTAGTTCTCGCAGGTGATCCACAGCTTCCAATGCTCGGGTAAAGGGCCGTACGTAAAGCCTGCTATGAAATGCCGACATGCGCCTTTGTTGACAGGACCGTAGTCGCGGTGTCTACTAGGAGAAGCCTCGCTGGAAAGAAATCCCCGAAACCTGCCCGCCTTTTCAGTCTCATGAAAGCGCCTTTCCGAACGTCCATACGCCAGAAGATCGATCCCTGCAGTCGCCAAGGTATTGATCCAAAACCGTAAAATTCTTTCGAGATGGGAAGAAAAGTCTCTCTTGGAACCTACGGATGAGAAACGTTGCTTCAGGCATGCCTGAGAAATCATAGCTGATAATGGAGTGTAAAGGCGTCGAGGGTTCTCCCAATTGGGCAGATGGAAAGGCTTGCCAGGGTCCGCATGCTGCAAAGCAAGCGGATCAACCCGGATGCACCCGGTCAATATCTGAGCCCAATTTTGATCTTCTGTACCGGACTCGTTACTCAGCAATGGGTGGATGGCGCCAACTGCCATGGAATGAAGAAGTGAGTAGTGACCAGGCAATCTGGAATCCGCAAGCCACGCTTTCTCGCGTAACGAGGCCTTTGATACCAGAATGGCGAGCTGATCCAGCGTCCACCAATTGCTTCCAGTATGGTAAACAATTGCTCTCAAAAACCTCACTCGTTCCTCGACGGACAACTCGGGGCCTTGAGCGCGTCGATTCAACAGTACGTAAAAGCCCTCCAAGTTGATTCCGCGATCCAAAACCCAAACGAGTCCATCGGCTTCGAGAAAGTCATCCAACCCATTCTCGTCCAGGATCTGAATCATAAGAGAGTTGCCATCTTCATATTCATGTTCGGAATACGGCAGCCCGATTGCTTGACCCAGTAGCCATCCTCTTAAAGCGGTCAGTATAGCAAGTCCATGCAACCCGTGGAATAATTACATACTTGATGGGGTCGCCGGTGTCGATGCTTAATCCATTATTTAACAGCAACTTGGTGATATTGAAAGACCTGCGAGAAATTGCTGTCTATTTCCCTTGGATTAGAGCACATCACGTAGCCGAAATGAATTAGTTTACTGGAACAAACTTACATCCAGAAGGCCAAAGCCCATTCTATCTCGAACGCAAAAGCCCATTCCCCGGCCATGTAGGTATTTCAGAAGTGCATTGCAGTCATCCTGCCACATGAGTTTGTGAAAGTTGGCATCGAAACTGTCGACGATCTCGTGCGTCCTTAAACAGATTTGCCATCCCATATTCGCCTTTTGAGCGAAGATTGAGTACACGGATACGCCAAGCCAGCTTGGTGCAGCAAAGAAGGCATGGAAGCCACCCTTTTGCTCAAATCCGAAGCAGAACTTGCCGAACATGTTCAATTCTGTAGGATCAGAACGGATATCCCGGAGTATTTGCCATTCTCTCGACATGATATCATCCTCTTGTACATCACACTCTTTTTGCATAGGCGTTTTAATCATAGTTGCGGTTGCGCTGGTTTTTGGATAAGGTACTCCGTTTTTGTCGCTCTTAACTATGGCGTTGTATGTTGCAATTGCACTGTGGTGATCGTCAGTTATAGTGAGGGGCAAAAAAGGATCGCAGTCGCATTTAACGTACATGCGTCGCCGTTCTTCGGCTTGTGCCATCTGGAACATCCGAAGAGCTCGGTCGAATTTGAGCGAAAGGGCCTCCAGGTCGTCTTTCTTCAGAGCAGCTTTTGCGGAAGCTATTTTGTGCTTCAACCCGCGTTCCCTGGTGACTCTAGTGTGGATCCTGTCCACCATATCCTGCAGTTCTTCTAAAGCAGAGCGACATCTGCAGATAAGCTTCTCGAGTAGGATACGGTCCGATGCGATAGCCGGAAGTGGGCTGATGGCCAGATTGTCCTCAACGTTTGCGAGGAAATCTTCAAAGATCTGGATGTCTTCCGCCTTTTCGCGCAGAAGGTTTGGGACATTCTTGACCTCGCTCCATAGTTTTTGGATTCTGACGTAGGCGCTTCCAGTCTTGGCGGCAACGTCCACGACGCCAATAACGCTCACCGCTAGGCCAAGAGCTTCGGCCATCGTAAAAGGCGTACCTTCGATAGAGAGGTGTGAGGTTCTGGGCTGCGGTGGGGAGGATAAGTTACGGATGAATGTAGCCCTCGAAGCAAGGACAGCACAGAGCGGGGCAGGTGTCACAACGCGAGAAGTAACAGCGAGGGAGCGTCAGCCTTATGAGGTTGGGCTTCTACCAGGGCTATGCCGTAAGCATTGGCACATTGTCAGCCTCCATGAGTTCGGGCAAATGCAGACCTTTGGCGAATAAACCTTGTGATTGGGTCTTTCCAATAGACGAATCATCAGTAAGCTTGGCTTGCGATGCCTTCTAGGCCACTCAACCGTGTTTGAGTTAATGTTTGGATGACTGTACCTGTACTCCGATAAATAGCCGCATATCGGCATTTCTTTACGCACGAAGAACCTATAGCATCGGTTCTTGTTTCCAATTTGCCCATTTATCCATTCTATCGGCCCCACCAGATAGGCTTTTGTGGTGTTTGGTTCTGATAGACGGTAGTCATAAATCCCCCTTCGACAAGAAAGTTTCTACACTGGCGGCCTGATTCTTTGATATTCAGACCATATGAATGGCGACAGGTCCCAAATTGCCCATGCGATGTCGAGCTTCCCAGTATCATCCAAGAGATCTGGAACCCAGGATCCTGGCATCTCCGCCTGCGTATTTTCAACCATGTTCCAGAAACTTGCTGCAAAACCATATGTTTCTTCGGCAAACCAAAGTCGCCAATGTTCAGGCAAAGGCCCGTATGTAATGCCAACGACACAGTATCGCGTCCGATAATCAACCCCTCGGCATCGTCTGTCGATGATATATCTGCGGCCCATTTGCACAACACCTTGTTCAAATAGCACACGCTCAGCCCGACCATAATTTAGAAGGTCGACACCCGCAGAAGCTATCGCCTTCACCCAGAACTGCAGTGATGACTGGGCCAACTGCAGCAAGTCAGTATATCTGTTCCTGTCATGCGTCAAAGCCCAGCGTATGATACTAAGCAAAGCTGTCAAAGGCCGCTGGACGGGGCCAAACATTCGATTTCGTTCCACGTGATTCAAACCAG